GAGTGGAGCCCCGCGCGAGCTAGGGCGAGCGTCCCGGGGACCTGCGGGGCCATTAACATGACGCTCCCCACCTGGGGGCCCTCGGTCCCGCCCGACGCCACCGCGCGCGCGCTGGAGTCGCAGCTCCCGCCCAGCCCGCCGGCAGCCTTGGGGGGGCCCACGTGGTCGTGGTCGGGGGTCTGTGGTCATGGTCGGGGGTCTGTGCAGCCCGACACCGTGAGTGTTGCTTTCAAAGGTTGTGTTGGGGGGTGGGTGAGGTGCGTCTGCTGCTCTCACTACAGGCAGGCATCTGCGCCCTGCGGCCAGAGAGCACCACCCGTGTCTGCAGGTGTGGCCTGTCCCACCCTGCGGGTCCTGCGGGCGCGGCCACGAGAGGGCCTTTCAGGGCCCCAGGTCACTGAGTCTTGGCCTGGGCCTGGGGAGGGGGCCCGCACTGCTCCCCTCCAGCTGGACCTCCTTCCTGAGGCTGGGGAGCAGGGCCGGGGCTGGGGGCCAGGCGCCTGGCTCACCCAGAGCTGGCCTGAAGCCCTGCTGCCTGCAAGTGTGTGGACTCCAGCACGTGCCCCTCAGGCTGCACCCGCTTACCAGGCCGCCGTGGGTGGACGAGGGCACCCACACCCTGGACAGGTGGGGACGGAGGTTCCAAATGAAGCCGCTTGGCGGGCCACGCACATGTAGGGCCAATCGTCACCCACCGGGGCAGGCGCCTATACCCTGGTTTCTAGACCTCGGGTGTGTCTGAGGAAATCCCCCGAAGCCCCTGGGCTGCTGCCCGGGAGGGTCCACCCACCCAGGGGAGAGTGCTGTCCAGGAGTGGCTACATAGTACTGCAAGTGGCCTGGCTTTATTGAGGTGACTTTTTACGCCCAGATGTGCGCCCAAGAAAGAGGCTGACCACCTCCACCCCCTCCGGGGCTTGCAGGAGCGTGGGGTGCAGCCAGGACTTGCTCGCTGGCAGAGCTTGGAGCTGTAGCCCTGCCATGTGCTTCCTCAAAGGCCTGGGTGCCACTGGGGTGTGTCCCTGGGGGTCCCCCCAGTAGACTGCCTTCTTGGCCCAGTGGCCACCCTCCCCGCCCCCTCTCGCCTGCCCCTGGTGCCCCATGTCAGGTTCCCCTTCCCCGGCCTTGCTTTGCAGGATAGGAAGCAGGGTGGCCAAGCTGGCTTCTCAGGTGACCACGCCTGTCCAGGTCACGATGCCCAAGCAAGGCCGACGGGACACTGGCAGGCACCAGCCCCCGGGTTTCGGGACCCCTGTGTGAGCCAGGTCTCCGGTGCCAGGTGGGCTGGGGAGAACGGAGAGTTGAGGCAGCAGTTTTTGAGCCCCAGGCTAGTCAGGCTTCTAGGCAGGGATCCCGAGGAGCTCCCCAGGCAACGCCAAGGTGTGCCCCGGGCTGGCAGTGCCATCTTAAGAGCAGCACTGCTGCTTCAATCAGGGTGCAGGCCTCCTGGCACCCCCTCCGCCACCCCACAGCCTGTTGCTACATTCCAGCAAGTGAGGCCAGGGCCCCCAGCTCGGTCCTGGCGCTTCAGAGGGCGCCGGCGACAAAGCCTGCCCTCGGCGTCGCGCGGCACTGGTAATTACGCCGCGGCCAGGGGCAGCCTCTTGCCTGACCACTCTGTGAGCTCGAGGCCAGGCGGGGCGCTGGCCGGCGGGGGCTGCCGCAGCAAACCCCAGAGGGCAGCCGCGTGGGTGACACCCCAGACGCCTGACACCCCCCCCAGGGTCACCCGTGTCTGCACCCCCAAAGCAGTGCCCAGTTGGGGCACTGCTGCCTGGCCTCTGGAGGCCCTGCCCGGCAGCGCTCACTGCCGCCACCCGGTCTCAGCCACCTGGGGCGCTCCTGTGAGCAAGGCGGGCTGGGGGAGGGGCAGGCACTGTGGCCTAAGCTGGGGTCTCTGGCACATGTGGCCCCAGCTCCGCCCACTCGGTCCCGACCCCCCAACTCCTAAGCTGACTTCTGCTTCTGCAGCTCCCCTTAAAGTTTAGGTTTTAACAAAGACAACAGGGTACCGTCTGCCAAACCCCAACTACGAATTCAGAACGCAGAAGTGTGGAAGCCACTGCAGAAAAATAATCTGCAAAAACTTAACTTTAGAAAATAGTTTAGTACATTTTTGTTATAAAATTCATTTACAGGAGGTTATTCACATGTAATCACCAAATGTGCTCCTGATGATCCTTGAGAACACGTAACTGAATAAACCATGCGCGGTAAAGCCGAGGCAAATTATATACAGAGACGCACGCGCGCGTGCTGAGGATCATCGGCGGCCACGGGCCGTTCTCGCCGCAGCCGGGGCGCGGCAGCAGGCGGTAGAGGCCACGCTGGCCCCGGCGGCTGGATGGAAACGCCGTCGCCAGCCGGCAGCGGGCCGACGGGGCAGAGCTGCAGCGCTGGTTTGTGTCTAACGGCGAGGCTGAGCCTCGAGGGGCAACGCCCCAGGCGCGTGTCCTGCCCCGTCAGGCGCCGAGAGGTTCGGGGCGCACCGCACTGCACCCCGCCTTGGTGAGCCAGCGGGGACGCAACTGGGCGTGACATGAGATTCCTGGGACGCAGGGGCTGGGGCTCCCCTGGCCGGCACTGGCTCACCCTGGGGCCAAGGCCCAGCCCCTGCCAGCGGCACCGGGAGAAAGGGGCGCCTGTGGGCCGCAGCCGGCGAGGACGCCCGGCACGGAGGTAGTGGCGCCTGCCAGGCTCGGGGCGCCCGGCTTTCTGGGCGCAGCCCGCCCGCGACGGAGCTGCAGCGTAGCCCTGCACGGCGCCCTGCCGCTCGCGGCGCGTCGGCTGTGCGGGCGAGCTGGCCGCTGCTGCCCGCCCACGCCGGCTGGAGGCCCTCTGCTCACACCGTGCCTTGACATAAAGCTTGTTCTGTCGAAAACCGTCTTCTACGTGGGAAGGAGAAGCGCCGACCAGACCCAGGCCCTAGCTGGCTTCGCCCACCCCCGCCCACGGAGGTGCGCTCCACCGCACAGCGCTCCGTGCCCGTTCTGCAGGTGAGGAGCAGTCAGGCCTGGGTGCCTGGGGCGCCACGGCCAGCACACCAGGGTACGGCGTGTGTGTCACCCCATTTCCAACAGTACACATGTCCCCTTCGAGGCCCCAAAAAAACCAAAAAAAAAAAAAAAAAACCACCCTCGTCCGGACAGTCCACGAGCCAGTGTCCGTCTTGTCCACAGCGCCCGGCTCCCCTACAACAGCTTCCTTTTCTTTGAGCTGCCTTCGTCCTCTGCCCTGCGGGGGTCCCAGCCCGAGCCCCAGGCCACGGGAGGGCTCGCGGCGCGGCGAGTGTCCTGGTCCCCGTCACTGAGCGCCCTGGCCTCCCGCCTGTGGCTCAGCTCCCCGCCCTGCTCGCACTTCCTTTTGCTGGAGGCGGCCTCCGGGCCGGCAGCCAGGGGCTCGCTCTGCGCCTGAGGCTGGTGGCTGCCCAGAGAGGCCCCTCTGATGGTGGAATGCGGCACAGCACTGCCCAGGTCCTGGGGGCTCCCCGGGAAGCCGGGCTCCCCGCACGGCGGCGTCGCTGCAGGGTGCTGGGGGCTCGGGGGCTGCGGGTCCCTGAGATGCGCCTCGGGGGCCAGGCCCATCCGCCGGAGCAGGCGCGGGTCCCGGAGTTGGTCCTGCGCAGGGGACTTCCCAGTGTCCTTCGCAGGAACGGCGGACTCCCTGGCGTCGGGAGGGGTGTGGTACAGGGAAGACGCAGAGGGCGACGTGTCCGGCCTGCTGCCCGGCAGGCCGCCGGGGGGTCTGCACGCCTCGGGGGCCACGGCAGGAGGGTGAGTCAGACTCCGCTGCAGAGTGGGCTTCAGTTTCAGGATCTTCGTGGCGTCGTGTTTATAGTTCCTGTCACAGGTCTTGATGATGGCGCCCCGCTTCTGAGCGTCCTGGATCAGGTGATTCCAGTGCTGGTTTTCCTGGAACAGAAGGCGCAGTTCACCCAAGCAGCACCCGAGACTGGGCAGCACGCACCTGGCTCTCGTTTGTGAGCAAGGAAGCAGCACACTTTCCGGGGAGACTCGAGGCGGCTCAGAGAGCAGGTGAGCGAAGCCCCGGCGGCAAGAACCCCAAGGCCCCGGGCTCCTGGTGGCAGCGGCACCCGGACCTGCCATCTGCCGCATCGCCCGTGGGTGCTGACAGGATGGACTGAGGGCCGCGTACCGCGACCTGCGTGAGGAGGGCAGGCTGCGCGTCCCCCGAGAGCGCAGGCCCGCGGCTGACACCGAGCAGGGGCCCGACTCTGAGTGCAGCAAAGGGGTCCCAGCGTTCATCCACTGCCCCAGGGCCCCAAACCCCAAAGGGCTAAGCTGTCATCATCCAGGAAGATACTAGCCCTGACGCGGACCCCATGCCCCAGGGAACCCTCCGGCCTGTGAAGGCGCTAAGAGGTCACTCGACAGTTTCTATTTCTGGCTTAAATCCTATGCGTAGTCAGCTGTGCTGAATCTTGCACAATCGCTGTAGTAACAGCGCTCCTGACACCGCGTTAACAACAGCCTTACTCAGCTCTCAGGAAAACACCGGGAGGCGCCTTATGCCGAGGCTCCTACAGGGCTGCAGGAAGGGCCGCGCCGCCCACACAGGCGCTCAGGGGCCCCTGAGAGCATTTTAGCTTTCAATTTAACATGATTTTTGAGGCAAAGAAGCTTAATAGTGAGGTGAACAGGAACTTTGACTAGAAAAATGTACTACGCCACCAAACATGAATGGGAATAAATTTCAAAGAGCAGGAATTTAAAAAAATAAATGTGGATATTATACTACTTTAGAATAAGAAATACTTAGCAATACTTAAATGTATAAAAAAAAATTCAGGAGCAATTTGAAAACGGGCGCGTGCAGCGTTTCAAGATTCTTTCAAGGATCCAGTCACAGTGAGAGGCCGGGCCAGGAGCCGCGACCGGCCAGACTGTGCTCAAGCGCCCTCTGCTGGCGCCAGGGCAGCACAGAGCCTTCAGAGCCCTGGGAGCCGGCCCCTCGGCCCCTCGCGCATCTGCGGCCAACAGACGCTGGCCCTGCGCCACCCGCCTGTCACTGCCCTGTGTGTCCTAACGGTGTCAACTCACCCTCTGGAGGCGCCTCTGTGCGCTCCTCTTCCCCCCACGGCCGCACCAGCACCTCCCACACGTGCACGCACCCTCTGAAATGCCCCGCGTGCCCACATGGAGGGTGCCCCAGGGCCCGTGCAGGGGCTCCCAGGAAGAGGCTGCTGCAGAGGCCCGCCCCTCCAGGGGGAAGAGGCTCAGTATCCTGATGGAAAATAAAACGAAGCCTCGGCCCGGCCTCGGTAACCGCGGGCACTTCCCGGCCCCAGGCCCAGGGCTGTCCTCACCATCAGGGTCCTGAGGTGTCCAAGGATGAAGAGGCTGTACTTGGCTCGCGTGATGGTGACATTCAGTCTCTGCAAACTTGCCAGAAACCTAGGCCAAAAAAAAATTACTTCTACAGAATGCTTACATAAGAGACACGCAGCAGAGAGGCAGCTGCTCTGATGTCCCAGCACCGAGACGCTGCCCCCCGCAAGGCACCGCAGGGAATCCATCCGCGCTCCCCTTTGGGGGCGCAGCCACCGCCGGTCTCCCCCGCGGGTGCGGGCATACTGGCGCTGTGCTCCAGTGCTATGACTTTTAAGTTGGGTCAATGGTTCTCCCTTCCAGAAGTATTTTAGATTATCTGAATACTGCAGAGCCAGGGCCCGAGTCTGCACATGCCGATGTGAGGAGCCGGGAAGTGACAGCACTGGTGTGTGACTGAACTTTCCAGTCAGTTGGGCACCTGAGGTGACCGGCCTCCACCTCAGGCGCAGCGACCCCTGGTAGGGCGGCACCAGCCGCGTCCCTTACGAGCAGTCACAGTCGGTAAATCCCCGCTGCTGCTCATGGGAGGGAAAAGTAATCACGTGAGCGCCGCAGGGCCTACCCCGCCCACCTCAGCACTTGGCACCTGGGAGTTCAGGGACAGCAGCGAGGGGCCACACGCTCGCCAGAGGAAGGCGACTCTGGGCCACCCCATCCGGGCAGTGTGCTCCTGCACGCATCTGCTCGGGGGTTTCTCTCACTAATCAAACAAAAGGGCCACTCCACACTGGGACGTGGCTGCTGTCCGAGGCGCCTGGCGGCCCCCTCGTACTGACTCGTAGCGTGGCAGGAAACCCGGTGAGCACGTGTTTTAACAGGGTGCTCCTGCACAGCGCCCGCAACTGCTCTAACCCTGGTTTAAACAAGAAAGTCACGACAGTCACTCACCCAATGGAACCCTGCAGAGTATTCGCTCTCACACACGTGACAATGACACAGTCCTTCTGGCGCCCCTGGAATGCATCCACGGTGTCCACCTCTGCCGGCCTAGTCACAACAGAGAACACGCTCACTGGAAGGCGCAAGCACGTCACCACACGCGCCTGCAAAGCGGTTCCAGGAGTGCGTGAGGCACAGCCACAGGCGGCGCCCCCTGCATGGCTGCGCATTTCTGTCAGCGGAGGCCCGAGCCAGCTCGCCATACCCCTCTCCCCACCCACAGACTTTGTCTCCATGGACGTTTCTACACTGGAACCGGACATGAAGCACGTGGCTGTCTGGGTCTGGCTTCTGCTGCTGCACGAGGCGGCGCCGAGCCCTTCCAGCACTGCGTCTGCGCGCACGGCAGAGCCTGGGCCCTCCCCTCGGCCGAGGGCACGCGGGCCGTCGCGCTCCGGGCGAGTCAGCACGCGAACACCCCCGCACGCGCTGTGCTGGGGCGCTTTCTGCGCGCAGGCCCGCACCTGAGGTGTTGTGGAGCTGTCGCGTTCAGCTCTGAGGCCTGCGCGCCCACGCTCCCCGAGGGCACGGCTTACGCCACGCCAGCCCACGGGTACCGCCGCTGGCTCCTGCACCGGCTCCCTGCCGGCGAAGGCTGTCGAGCGGCTCCCCGGGTGCTGCTGGCCACTACTCCGAGAGCTGCCGCTCAGACCCCTGTCCATTAAGAGTTGCACGGCTCATCCCTGGCACACTGAGGTGAACGTGTGCCTCCTCAGGCTCACATACCCGACTGGCACGAGTTCTCTCCCACTCTGCAACTGGTCTTTCCCACCCTTGTTGGTGTCCTCGGCAAAAAGAATGGCTAGCCATCACAAAGTCCTGGTCACCTGCTTTCCCTTTGGCCACCCCGGCCCGGGAGTCCCGCCGGACACCGGCGCACTGCGTCCACACAGGCTTCGGCCTTCCTCAGGTCTGTGCTGCTCTGAGGCTGGCTGTCGCGTGCGGCACAGACGGCCCGACGAGCCCTCTGTCTGCAGACAGTCCTCCGGTCGGGGCCCTGCCGCAGACACCGGCCGGCCGCTCCCGCCCACAGCCCGCTGCCGAGCCCCTGGCAGAGCACCCTGCCGGGCGTGAGAGCGGTGCGGGCGCCAGCGAAGGGCGGCCTCAAGCTATGCGCGGCTCGCTGTGCCCTGGGGGTTCGTCCGCTCCCACAGGGCAGCCGCAGGCCTGAGTGGAGAGCGGGGGTCCTCCCACGCACGAGGCCGCCGTCAGCCCTCCCGGTGTGATCCAGCGCACGAGCCCCGCGCTTCCTCCGGTCAGGCCACTCATGAACATGCTGTTCCTTTGTTGTTACTGTAAAGATAATTTTTTCTTCAATTTCTTTTCCAGACTGCTCACTGCCACGTACCGAAACACAGTGTTTTGGGGATTCACCTCCGATCCTGAGACTCCGCCGAGCTCCCTCATCGGACGGAGAGGCTGTGAATTCTACACATAAGGCCACCCAGTTGCGCAAAGAGCTTTGCTGCTTTTCTCAGTCCCCTCTGCTTGCTGGGGACCGCAGCCAGGCAGCCTCCCTCGTCTGAGGCGGGGAGGTTTTCAGTCTTGCAAGTATGAGCATCGCTCTGGATTTTTCACGGACGCCTTTGAGTGGTCGGGGAAGTTCCCTTCCAGGCCTCGTTGGTTGAATGTCTTTCTCACTGACGTCTGCTGGGTTCAGTCAAATGCCTCTTCCGCATCTATTCAGATGATCGTGTGCAATTCTCCTCTTTTATCCTCAGTGTGAAGTGTCACGTTGATTTTTGTGTGTTGAACCAACGCTGCGTCCCTGAGACGGCCCCATCCAGTGAGGGTGTGAAGCCTTTCAGTGGTAAGCTGCGCGCCCAGTGGCCACTGCTGTGCTGAGGACTCTGCGTCTGCTCCAGAGGACGCTGCAGTTCTCCTGCACTGTCTCACCACTGCTTTGGCAGCAGGTGACATTGGTCTCACGAAAGTAGTGACCAAGTCTTTAGTCTTCGTTGAGTTTTTGGAAGCGCTTGGGAAGAGTTAGGGCTAAAAATACAGACTCCTCACTTTGAAGAAGCCGGTGCTTGTGCGGCAAGCTGCCTCTGAGGGCTGCGACAAGGCTCTCGGGGCCTCCGAGGGCAGCAGCCAGCCCCATGCAACGGCAAGAAAGGGCACAAGAACTTCAGTTGCACAACCAACAAGGAGCTGAATTTCCCCAAAACCCATGAGCGTGCAAGAGAACCCAGAGCCTGGTATGAGAACACGGTCCAGGCAGGCACCCTGATGAGGCCTGACCGGCAGCTGACATGTACCCAGACTCAAACCAAATGGAAATGCAGGAAAAGCCGAAGCTCTGAAAAAATGAGGATGCAATATGAGGTCAAAGGTAAAAAATTAAGATGCAAAAAAAAAAAAATCACTTCAGGGCCCCCTCGTGGCGCAAGGGTTCGTGAAAGCACCGCGCTCTGAAGCTCTCTGCAGCCACGGCAGCAGGCGTGTGCTCCCCGCCAGGGAGCGACCGCCACGGCGCAGCGGGCCCCTCCTGTCTCCCCACTCCTCCCCTCAGCTATCAGTCTGCCTGTTTTGCTCCCCACTCTGTCTCTGGTGAACCCTCTCAACACCCCCACCAGAATCTCTGGCCTGTACCCCAGGGTTTTTTTTTTGGTTTTTTTTTTTGCATAAATAAATAAATCTTTAAAAACTTCAGAGAAATTATGAAGAGAAAAAATATATATACAAGAAACCAAGGCTCATGAGGTTTTCTCCTAGGACTGAAGCAATTTCATTAGAAAAGTGCCCGCGCCCCGCTCCCCCCACCCCCAATTGAGGTCCGTAAGCCAGAAATGTATTATTACATGAACCGAACAAGAGAGCTCAAGTTAGGTGCTCTCTCCCCATTCATAAGAGGCCATTTCTTACCAAAGAACTGTTAACCTGGTACAGGTTTCTTAATAGTGATATAGTTGTAAATGAACACTTAGCTCTTGCTCACATCTGAGTAGTCATTTCACTGGTTGAAACATTTTTAAGGCTGGCTCTCCCTGGTGGCGCGGTGGGTTAAAGTGCAGCAAAAGCCACTTCCGCATGAGTTCGATCCCCGCCCCGGAGGTGACCACAGGGCGCGGCAGACCTCTCCTGACCACCTGCTGCTCCCCTCCGCAGTGGATTTCGTCAGTCGGCCTGTTCTGCTCCCCACCCTGTCTCTGGTGAATCCTCTCACCACCCCTGCACCTCTGGCCTGTACCCCAGCTCTGTGTGCATAAATAAATAAATCTTTTAAAAAAAAAAAAGAAACACATTGTTAAGGCTATGTTTAGAGAACTTAATACAACTTAATACTGATTCTCAGAGTACTGATACTAGACAATTAGATGGAAATGAATTGTAAATTACTCATCAGTCACAGGTAGGAATTATTTCCTGACAATGGAATGAGGAACAACCGATATTCCTATAGTGACTATTACACAGATAAAATATGTAAAAAGACAGATTCCTCACCCTTTTCTGTCAAACTCTTTGTCCAAATCCTTCTGAATCATGGTCTTCTGGGCCTTGTAATGGGTGATGATGCCAATGTTCCGGAAAGTAACGTCCTTCCTTTTCTCTTTAATAAGTTTAATTATTTCCATCACCAGTTTTATTTCTTGAATATTGACATATGAGCTAAGTAAGATGGAGAAAAAGAACAACACATCAAAGCCAGTCACATCCAGTGGCCACTCGAGTTCCACCCCGATGGTCACCGGAAAACATACTCGTTGTCCCGTCTTTCTGAGCCGTCTCCCACATCAAACACGAGGTAAGGCTGGAACGGCCAGTCTGACGAACACCGATTGGTCTCAGTCACTCTGCAAAAAAGCAGCCACCATTCAGCACACAAGTTGTAAGAGCTTGCTGGTTGTTTCAATTTATGCCACATTTTTGCAGGGCAGGTGCTGGGGAAGTTAAGGGGGAAGGAAAGACCCTTTTAAAAATGTTGTAGCGAAAGGTACAAAGCAATTTTAACCCTACTCTAGTGCTAGGGAGAATGACCTATGGATTAAAGTATGACCCATGACAGGAGGGTTGCTGATGATAAGCAACCGCGAGAAGCCAGGGGCAGGGCCTGATGACAGTGACCACAGCTACCCCGCCGGGAATTGCCGGCAGCATCTGGTCACAGAAGCTAAGCAGGCCACAAGGAGCTACCGCCTCCCACCAGTGAGAATGGCCCAGATCAAAAAATGAACAGCAACAAATGCTGGTGAAAAGGAACTCTCCTACATTGCTGGTGGGGTGCGAACTGCCCAGCCACTCTGGAAAGCTGTACAGGATTCCTCAGACAGCCACCAATGGAGCTGCCACAGGCCAGCAACCCACTCCAAGGGATCCACACAAAGGGCACGGAGACATTCACTGGAAAGGAGACATGGCCCCCATGGTTACGGCAGCACGATTTACGGTAGGGAAGGCCTGGAAACGACCCAAACGCCCAAAAGCAGACGGCCGGCTCGAGACGATGTGGGATAGGCCCTCTGGCGGTGCAACAGGTTGCAGTGCAGCACTATGAAGCTAGCCACAGCCCACTTTACAAGCCTGACCCCTGGCCAGGGAGGGACCCACAGGGCCCAGCAGACCTCGCTTGTCTCGTCCACAGCAGTGGACTTCGTCCAATGGCCTGTCCTGCTCCCCACTCTGTCTCTGGGAATCCTCTCACCCACCACACCTCTGGCCTCCACCCCAGTTCTTTAAGCATAAAAATAAATCTTTAAAAAAAAATGCAGTACATAAACACAAAAAGCCAACCTCATGCCATGTGCAGCAACATGGCTGCCGCTGGAAGGGATCATGCTCAGAGAAACAACTCAGAAGGAAAGAGAAATACTGAATGGTTTCACTTACAGGAGCAATTAAGAAAACCAAATAAGGGGATTTTTTTTCCCATAGGGAAAAATTGTATTGTTATTACAGTACAAAACACAACAAAATAAAACAAAAACAGACCACCCTAAAGCAGAGCTATCCTACAGGGAGGGCCAGAGAGGGCTCGGGAGGAGGGGGGAGGGGCGTGGAGGGCTGTAGCGATCACCGGCGAGGCGGGGCGGGAGGAAGCAAGCCTTGCTGTAAAGAGAAAGCATAAATTAACTAAAAAAAAAAAAAAAGCAGCAGCTAAGCAGGGCCAAGCCCGGTTGGCATTTAGTGCTGGGCTGTGAGGACACGCGCCAAGTACGGCATGACTGACCCCCCAAAAACTTCAAGAGAAGAAAAGGAAAGGACGCAGCACAGCCCCGACAGTGGCGGATGCTGCCAGCGCCCCTCCCTGCCAGGGCAGGCGTGGGCACCGGCCGCCCTCCCCGCTGGCCCGAGCTGCCGCGAGCAGTGCGCCTCTCGACAGTGCGGACGACAGCCAGGCCTTCCACTCAGACACGAGCGCGCAGCGACACGATTCTCCGCCGAAGCAGCGCGGAGCCCTGCGGGCGGGCCGCCCACCTGTTGGTCTTCAGGCTCCTGTTGTACACGTAGTTGGAGGGGAAGAGGCAGATGTCAGGATGCATCCGGTACTGGGTGGTGAGCTGCACGATGGGCAGCCTGCTGATCACGTCGTGCTCCACGTTCTCGCCCAGCAGCTTGCAGAAGCGCGCCATCATCGACTGGTCGTAGCCATACTCCTGCGCTTTCTGCGGGGCCGAACAGAGCCGTCTGCGGGGCGTGTTCACGCTCGCCCCACTCTTCGGAAGCCCTTTCAGGGCTCGAACACGCACGTGGGAAGTCGGGTGACACGAGATCACTGATGCCCCAGATGCAGAGAAAGGCATCTCCAGAGAGCCTGAGAGCCCCGCAGCCTGACTAACAGCTCAGGGGATTCTCCTCAGGAAGCCCACGCGCGCTGGCGAACGCTGCGTGAGGGCAGGGACAGAACCAGTGTTAAAAGCAGCAGATGTGTAAGCGACTTTACACCTCTCCTCGAGAAGCTCCCCCACAGACACCGCGCCCTTGAGACAGCCTCTGCTGACCAGCGGCTCACGTTGAGCATTTAACTTCAAGTTCGGGCCTTTGGTCTCGGCTGCAGAAGCGTCGCCGTCTGGAAAGTGCCCCCCGCTCTGGGCCACGGTGTGGCTCTAAGGCTGTGGGAAGTGAGGCCGGCCTGCGCCCCACAGGAGGGTGGCTGCAGGGCTGAAAGGTGGAAGAAGTGGTGACAGGTGGCGAGGCTCCGGGGCTGCACGCCACGGGCAGGCGAGGCACGGCCTGCCGGCACTGCGGGCCCAGAGGCAGCAGCCAGGCCAGAAAGGACGGCCACCGTGAGTCACGTGACACACGTGCTGGTGTGAACCAGTAAAATAAAAATAAGGTTGGGGTGTGAGGGTGCTACGCACCCCGTGTTCCCCAACTGCTCACTTCACAATCCCGAGAACAGGCAGGAAAGCGTGCTGAGGAAAGCACCTTTGAGATTTTTTGGATTTTCCTTGGTAACTTTGTATTATTTTTATAATAACAGAAACAGATTTCTTTTCATTTTCGAGGTTCTTAAGGAACACCCAGCCTGGCAGCAGAACTGAGGTCCTTCAACGGCCCCTTTCTGCAAACTGCGAGGCCCTCCGGGGAGCTGCCGCTCACTTCCCGCAAACCGTATTCTTGCAAGAGTACAACCGTCTGCCCTTCAGAAGCTCCCGTGGGCACGATCAGGAGAGCACCCCGTTTCCAGCACAAACCAACACGTGGCTTCAGGCGCCACCCAGAGGACGCTACGGCGCACCACCCAGGAGCGCGCGGCCGTGCGGGTCATCTCAAAGAATGACCACAAGCACGTGAAGTCACGCCATGCCGGACACAAGTGTCCCGAAATGGCCCGCCCCCAGGCTGTCCCCAGGCCAACGCCACTCCTGCACAAGCCTGGGTGTTAGTGAGAGCCAAGCTCTGATTACATTTTCCAAACCATGGTGTCGCTCGATTCAGAGGACCCAAACATCTCCCGACCGCTAATTCTGGGGTACACGCGTAGGAGCGGCCGTTAGTGCCATTTTGGAACTACAGGGGGACGCGCCCGACGGAGCCCGGAGCCCACAGAGGCTGTCTCCTTCCCCTTCATGCTCGCAGAGCTGCGGCACTTCCCTGCGCGCGGGTGCGGGCCTCTGGCCCTGGAAGCGGTCTGTCAACAGTGTCTCCCACGCTCTCCTCAAATACGCACGTACTTGAATGCGATCCGGGGGTGGTGTTTTCACGTCTACCTTAGTAAAGGACATCAGGACAGCCCTTGCCAGCGCCCCGCCTTCCCCCAGCAAGCGCCTGGCGCCAGGGCCTTGCCGACACCTCCGCCGACGCTGAGCGCCGCACACACAGGCCTCTCTCCTCGGCCGGGCCTTCTTTTCTGACCAAGTAACACGTTAGGCTCTAACCAAGATCCCTCCTTGTTCCCCAGGAAAACAAACAAAAACCCTTTCTACTTGTAAGCGCTGTGACCGGAGGGACGTACCATGGAGATGACCGTGGGGGGCAGCTGTTTGGGGTCTCCCACGAGGATGAGCTTGTTGCAACGATGGATGAGTGGAGTGAGGGTCTCAACTTCGCAAGACTGCCCCGCCTTGGTAAGAAAGGACAGAGAAATACCCTTAACTCCTGCTGCTATTTGCTTACCCACATACATTGCTCTAACTCATGGAAGTTCTAACCATTCAGGAGTGTCACCTCCATCTTCTGAACCAAATAGCCAGAGTAAGGTTTCCTCTAGTTACAGAGAAAAACGGAAACAAAACTCTCAACCCCCAAGACCACACTTGTGTGTGGAAATCAGCTACCACCCAGGAGTCGGCCCCAGCTGGAAGGCCACGTGTCACCCCCTGCCTGTCCCTGTCCCTGCCAGGCTGTGCCTCAGGACGCCGGTGCTTCCTGCCCCTCCGAGCCTCTCCAGTGACAGCACTCAAGCTGCCTCTCAGTTCAGTGACACTTTCCAGGGGGATTCTGCGATGTCTGCTTTCATCCCGACGAACTCTGGACCTCCGGCCTCCGAAGTGACCCTCTGTCTCATCTCGCCTCTGGCTCTACACTCAGGCAAACAGTAGGTGCCCATGAGTGCCTGCTCCACGAGTGAACCAGGAACAAGGAGGTGAGCTGGAAGTACTGTCACTGAGAGCTTTTCAGAGTTACGTTAGCTGCTTCAGGGTAGCCAGAGCGGCAAGCAGGAGGCACCAGGGCGGCTGGGGGTTTAGTGGGGAACAGTCCTGCTTCCCACGGATGAAAACCCCAATGTGGGCTGGCAGTGACCCCCCACCTGTGAACTGCAGCACGTCTCAACACCTCAGCAGCCGCAGCTCACCGAGCCCTGCTCCCGACAGCAGTGCACACGGCTGCACGGCCGACGGCCACTGACCTCGTCCACAATGACGCAGCTGAAGGGGACGCCTCCTTGCCCACGGAAAGCAGACTCCAGCAGCAAGCCGCCGCTGGTGCTCAGCGTGCAGCAGATGACGTGGGACTCCAAGATGATGATGCTCTGCGTCTTCTGTGGGCGTCCTTGAACCTAAGGTGACCGAGGCTCATCACAGTCAGTCCACAGTCTCAAAGACAGGCCTGCTTTCCCTACAGGCACCCACCCTTTGTTCTGTGACACAGCAGTGTTTGTAAGTGTTAGATGGGAGCCTGAACCCAGGAGACAACAGGAACATTCACTATCACCAGAAACCACCACACGAGTGCCGCTCTGTGTGCAGCCTCAGCTCTGAAGATGAAAGCGCATCAAGGAAAACTGATTTGGTCAAAGCAGATTACGCTTCTGGTAGGCAGCTATCTGTGGCAGACGTAGGCGTCAGCAGACAGGTTATCTGCATTGCGGCAGCCACGGGGTGAAACCAGGGTCGGGGTACGCACGCACACGCCCCCCGCTAGTCTTCCAGCCTACACTGTCCTTTGCAAAGCCTGTGCCGACAAGAAATCTGTGAGACAGACGAGCCCTGTCCTTCCAGGTGAGAAAACCACCCCGGTCAGGTTCGATGGCGATGGGCCGGGTGGGATGGACGCCTCACTACGCACACCATTAGCGCGTCTAACAGGGAGGACGTGCATCGCCTGGCTCTGTTCCTGAAAAGCACAAGTGGCTCACCCTGCTTCTGATCTGCTCACAGGGATCGCAAAGCGCATCTGTAGGCTTCAGGGGCGGGCGACAAACTCTGGGGCTTCGGGGCCCCATGTCACAGCACGGGGGCCGGGGGTGGGGGTGGGGAGGGTGTTCCCCTCCCCTCAGCTACCCAGGCAGGAAACCTGCTGGGCCAAGTGATTCCATGGCCCACAGAAGAACGCAATGAGCAGCGAAGACCTGACCCCTGAGCATAAATGTGGGAGACTGACTTTGGGCTCGGTTAAACATGTAACTGACAGGCTTTCCACATACTCTGACAAGCAAACTGCCATGGAAATATGCACTGAATTCAGCTGTAGTGAGGCCAACAGGGAGGCTAATAACCCACACAGAGCAAAACGGCTCAAAGCACGCGATGTCACCAGCCGGTATTGCTCTCGCCTCCCGACCTGGCCTCCCCCAGACTGCGCTCTGGCGACCAGGCCAGACGGGGCCCATCCACGCTCCAGTCACCCCAAACCCTAACCGGCACTGTTAGTGAGAGAGCAGTGAGGCGGCCACGCGCCGAGAGGGCCCTCTAGGCAGACACGCGCTCTCGGCCACGGACTGCGGAAAAGCGGCCGTCCCGGCGCCCAGCCGCCACTGGAGCCCAGACACACGACTTTCCTTGCTTCTTTCCTTTTAGTACGGAAACCCCCAAGTCTATTTTCCTTATCTACGACATAGTATCAACAGACGTGGGGAGGAGGGGCTAACAGGCGTCTCCCTAGGTACTAACCAGAGCCAGGAAAGTAAAGCCTGTCGCTCTCAGAGCGCTCAGTGGCGGTAAGAGCACATGATGCTGAGTAGAAAAATGTCACTGCACCAGTTCTTTTCATTTTGTTTAAAACTTCTTATAATAACTTTTTAAATGTGACTGTGAGGTCCACAGGTCGTCTATGCTATTTTCTAATTTAGAAAAGAAAGACTAGAAAATGCTGTAGCTAAACCACTTACCTCTTTAATTTTAGAAGCAAGTTCCTGCCTTTCTTTTGAAACTCTGGCGATTTTTTCATCTAATTCTTGCTTCTGAAAAAAAATTAGAATGCCATCATTAAAACTAAACTCGGCACTTGAAATGTTTCCGGCGGTCGCCTCACATTTCCAAGATGAGCCTCCGCTTTCCCTCTGCTCTCCTCCCCAGTCAAGCCTGGCTCCCTCTGGCGTGCCCAGAGTGCAGGCGAGCCGTGGCACCCGCGCACACACCGGCAGCCTCAGGGTCCCGAGCGAAGGTAAGCGCCTCTCTCCAGCAGCCGTGGCCCAAGTCTCCCCTGCCTCACGGCTCCTCCCCCATTTCTAGAGGAGTCACAGGCGGCGCTCAGCCACGCCCAGGCACGCCCTCGGCCTGCAGTCCGGTAAGCCCCGGCAGCCATCGCGTAGAAACAAGGCCCAGGCCTGCCTGTGCGTCCAGTGACCAGCCAGAGCCCTTCCCTGAACTGAGGCCCAGGCGCTGAGAGAAACCTCAGAGAACCGCTGGGCTTTTTAAGCGGGGTTGCTGGCGCCCCAGAACACTCGCACTCATCATGTCCCGGAGAAGAGATGGCTGACAGACAGGACGTCGCCTGCGCCGCTGGGTCAGCCACGCTGAAGCCAGTGGCGCTCAGACGCCCAGGTGCGGGAGCCCGGAGCCCCGTCAGTGTGCGGCGGGAACAGAGGCGGGCAGGCAGCGACGCAGCCGAGCGCGCAGCGCCCCACCTGCTTCCCTCAGCAGTCTCACTGGAGCCGCACAGCGTGCGTTACACATCACCCACCCACGGCAGCTTTTACTACGGCAGCAGCGCTCAGGCTGCAAAGTCGCCATCTTTACTTACTTGCGCCGTTCGGAGAAGTGTGTTCCTCCCTGGCGCCCCGCGGCAGGCACCTGACACACCGACGCGCGGGCTGCCCCCCCCCCCCGCCCTCCATGTGCTGCGGCCGGACCGCAGCACATCGTGGCGCTATCCCACGGTGAAAGGCTGCCGAATCCCCGCTCGACTAGCTCTGTACCCGGGAGTCACTGGAGACATCCATCAAGATGCGGTCGCCTGAGGAGAGTAAAAGCAGCTCACCTGCATCTCCCTGCCCACCCGGCACAAGGCGCGCTGCCGGGAGAGCTCATCCAGCTGGAGGTCCAGATAGTCCTTTCTTCTATGCATCTCCTGAACATGAGAGGGCAAGTCTTTTTCTGAAAAGGAAAACAAACCATGAGCTAGTTCTAACAGCACGCGGACGCAAGCGCAGGAGGAGAGCCCGCTCTCCACGCTCAGCTGCCCGCAGCCCCGCACCCTGCCCTGGCGCCTGGGAGCCGGGAGGGCCGCGGCGCGCGCAGGACTCACTCATCCTGTGGCTGACTTGGCTGTCCAAGCTGAACTTCAGGACCTCGTTGTTAATAGACTTTTCTGGGCCCAGACGTACTAAATTTATATCTCCACAGTTTCCTGTTGATAAAAATCACAGAGGACAGTCACAAAGCCCACACGTAAACAACATGCTAACACAGAGACGCCGCTCGAGAGCCGTCACCGCGGCCCTGGCGGCAGAGGCTCGTGCGCATCTCAGATGGCCTCCACAGCAGCCCGCAAGGAGTGACCGTTTCTGCCTCGTAAGAGCTGGCGACGCCACGCAAACAGGAGCCCGCGAGTTCACAGCTGCTTCTCCAACTGTGCTCCGCAGACTGTTCCATGGCATGTGGGACACGGTGAGTTCAATGAAAATAAATTCCTGAAGTCCAGGACAGCCCAAAAATACGTAAGGGCTTTTATATATTAATGTTCAACTGATTTCCAAAACACAATCTTACTTGAAAACTCCTTTCTGAAGGTATTTCAGAAAAGCTGCACATCACACCTTGCTACTGCAGAACCTGAAGGTCACAGCATGCTGGAAATTCGGGAGTGTGGGCATTCAAGAAACGAAATACCATTCGCTGGCTAGTGACTTTGGGCGGGCACGTTTTGCATACGGCTCACCCACAGCCTGCGTCACTGCCTGAGCGCCACTCCAGCCTGACACGGGCGCTGCGGGAGTGCAGGCCCTGTGCCGGCCCTGCCTGGAACTCTGGGCGCCGGCACTCAGCCAGAGAGCAAGGCCGCGCCGAGGGCCGTAGTCTCTCCTGGCCCAGCTCATTCTTCCAAATCTGATGCCATCTCCTCTGGCCCACGGTTTCAGAACCGCTAACATCTCCACCAGAGAGGTGGGTGTGATTCATCCACTGGAAACCCACCCCGCCATAAACACCTGGAATTCTCCCTGAATAAGACATCCTTGAAACCGCAGGATGAAGGGTTTGTGAGAATGCAAGAGAAATTGTAGACACCCACAGCCGGCGCAGCCCTCTCTGACCCCGAGCTCCTCTCAGGGAGCGAGGCACACGCGGTGAGACCCAGCGAGGAGCCTGCTCTCAGGCCTTGGAAAACACCGGTGTCCGTCTCACCCTGACCTGCCTCGGGGCTTCTGACCAAAGAAACGCAAGCTGCTGCGTTTGGAGTCTCTCTGCTCTGCTGCTGAAGCCAGTCCTGGCTGGCAAGAGGCGCACCGTCAGGGAACTGCAAGGAAACGCGGGCTGGCTGCGCCCGGGAAGGCGGCTCTGCTCGGCCGTGCGCACGCCACTCCAGGCGGGGGCCGGCGGGAGCTGCAGCCAGTCAGCGGTGCTTGACATCTCCTCCCCATGCCTGGCATCAGGTGATGCTGACGCTCTTCCCATCAGTCAGGGTATTGAAGACCGGGCCTCATCGACGCAGTTTACAGCTCCACTGTCGGTTCAATCCTCCTCCAACTGCAGCTAGCGGGGCTGCTTACTGCTTAGCTCACAGGCTCTCCTGAGGACTCCTGAGAGTAAGCGCTCGGCAGCCGTGACTGGTCACTGGCCCAGCGTCAGTACGAGTGCGTGCGCCCCTGAGGCCAGGCACCACCGAGGCCCTGGCCATGCTACGGTGAGCCAGGCACAGCCCGGCCTCCGCAGGCCCGGCTCAACTGAGCTGCCAGAGCCTCTGCTCTCTGGTCCTTCCTGTTTACAGTTCCTGCTCATCTCCCATCTCCTCCCTTCCCCTACATCTCCAGGCTAATTTTTAACTGCTCGTGAGGACAATACCTCCTCATGAGGACAATACCTCCTCAGAAGGCCTCCCGACTCCTGCCCCGGAGAGTCAAGGTTCACGCTAAGGAGTCAGAGACCCCTGCGCTGTACCCCCACTGTGGGACGGCCAGCTCTGCGCCACAACACCCACCCACCCGGCACGAAGCCCCTCTTCCTCAGGGGACCATCTCTCGGACGCCCCCTGGCACAGAGCCTGGGACCAAGCAGGTGCGCAGCAATACCTGCTACCGAGTAACGAGACTTGCGGGCCACACCCTGCCGGCCGCTCAGGGGTCATCTACAGTGACCCACATTAGACACTGAAAACAAAAATACATGTAGTTGATTTTTCATACCCAAAGGATTCTTCTTGTCTTTACATTTTTCTTTGAATTCGAGGATGATCTTTTTCATCAGCTCATCAACAGCCGCGTTGGAAGGGGCGCACACGAGGACACGGTTCTGTTTGATTTTGGCATTAGAGTTCTCATCCAAATGTCCCCTCCTCTGGGTCTGCAAGTGGCCACACACACAAAGTACTGATGAGCCCTACTATGGAGCTTTAGAGCTCCCTCCTCGCTAGGCTCCCTGATAGTTCAAATAAAAGCAACACCCTTTACAAACTGCTACTAAACGGCTGTCATGGACGTTTACCCTACCTGCCCAGCCTGACTTTCCTACACGCTTACTGTACTCAATCCTCAGTCCAGCCCCAACATGGCCCAGGCACACTCGAGGCACTGCAGACATGGCCCACGACGAGGCCAGGAGACCGCCTTCCTCCCGGAGGCCTCACTTCCCACGGGAGTATCTTCTGCTCTTTCCTCTCTGAGCTTGCCCCTCTCCAGGCACCACAGTTCCTGGCAGTATCGTGAAGATGCACACAGGGAGGAGCGCCAGTACGTGTTCACACACGTAGGCATACGCACGTGTGGCGAGGTCTCACCCACAGTAAAAAGCCTGCACGCCGCGAACAGCACGCCCTCGCACGCTACCTCTGTCAGGAGGCGGTACAGAAGGCCGACAATGGTCTTCGACTTTCCTGTCCCAGGTGGGCCATGAATCAGACAGATCTTGGCAACGGCAGGGGAGTGCTTCACCATGGCATAGGCGGTCTCTATTGCCTTCTTCTGGTCCTCGTTGAAATCTCGTAAGTAGGCAACCTGCACAAAGATACCAGAGTGAGCCGGGCTCCTGAGCAGCCCGTGGAAAACACCTGCGTGAGCGTCCTCTACGTGCCAGATAAAAGCTTCGGCAGGGATCAGACCGGACCCCAAAGTGACCTTTCATCACAGAACCACTTTCATTTCTAGGAAGTCACTTGCAGACCACCACAAATACAACCGTGTTTTGCTTGTGAATCTTATAAAAATGACCCTAAGTTCCCTTCTGTGTATCCCATGGCTCATCCTGTTTCAACAAGCCTGTCCTCACAAAGCAAAACATTCCAGACCTACTTTCCTGTACCCCAACAACAGAGTGAGTGCGCACTCTCAGCCCCGGCCTGAGCCCCTAGCTGCCCCGGAGAGAGGCCAGACAGAGAGCACACGAGGGCCGCAGTGCTGCAAAATGCGACCTCCGTCCTCCGCATTCACTCCAGGCCCTAAGGACGGTTCTCAGGTGAGAAATGTGTGCGCGCACAAAATGACGCCTTGATCTTCGTACTCAGAATAACACCTGCCAAGCCTCCACATCAGTCTTTCAAATGTGAGACGACGCCACTAAGCCTGCCCCCCGCTGCATTTTAGTCACCTGCCATGGTCATGCTGCTGCTCAGGCACCCCCCCCCCAATATTTATTTGTATTTTAAATTTTTTACATCATTCTTCATTTTGTGCATTTTTTCATCTCACTTGTAATCCCGGGGGCTTCCCACCACCAGTTCACCCGTGGGTGTCAGGCACTTTCCATCCTGTCTTTGCCGCCCGCCTGCTTATGCAGTAGCCGCAGGGCGCGCGGGCACCTGGGACGCTGAGGCCCTGACAGAACTTCCTGACTCCCGTCAGCCTGTGGCGGCCACTCACAATTCTCTCCGACGTTGTGGTCAGTAGGTCTTTTGTACAGAAGTCCATGGGGTTTGGGTTCAGAACAGCTCTGGCCAACTGGTTGCGACCACTCAACAGAGACATGGCTTTCAACTTCCTTTGTGTGGTGACCAGAGAGCTGATTACAGTGCACCTCACCAATTCATTTAAGCCGACTGGCAGAGTATCTTGAGTCTGGATGGAAAGGGAGCACTCAGACCTCCCATTACGCACTATCATCAAGGAGGAGAAACACAACTTCAGTTACTTGTGCAAAATGGCATACAGTAAAAAGGTTATTTGGGATTAGGCAACGTATAACTTATGCCTCGTGTGTGACATGCTAGTTCAACAGTTCCCTCAATAGTCACTCAATGCCTCTGCAGAGCCAGGCGGCGCTCCTGTCCGCAGAGGCCCACGCTGGAAGGGGAAGGCAGACAGCACATGAAGGCGTCAGCAGAGCCGAGTGGCCGCAGGAGGCAGAGAAAGGGGGCAAGGAACGAGCAGCATGAGGGAGGGTCACTGTAGGCAGGAGTCAGGGCAAGACACTTGAGCAGAGGCTTCAAAAGCCTCCTCTGAGCAGAGACAGTCTCAGGCGGAGAATCAGCGAGGCGGCCAGTGTGGTGGAAGGGAGCGTGGCGCAGATGCAGTGCAGAGTGGGCTCCTCATGTTCGGCTCAGTAAGGCTCAAAGCCCGGGACAGCTCTGTGCTGGGCAGTGACATGCTCTATCATATGGGGAGAGCGTCCCCTTTGTTGGAAGAGCGAAGAGTAAACCACACTGGGAAAAGTGCAGGCGCGACCAGGCCACGTCGGAGGGCCCACGCAATGGGGGAGACTGCGTGGTCGTGTGGCCCAGCACAGAGACGAGGAGGTGGGCTGGGTTCTGGGCATACTGCAAAGAGGGGTCACTGCTTTGCTGACAGCTGAGACGGCGCCTCTGAAAGGCAGGCTCAAGGGTGGCCTGGAAAAGTGGAAGCACCGAGGCCCACTTACTAGGACAGGAGAGCCTGAAGGAACAGCAGGCGTCAGGAAGAAAACTCAGCTTCCTGTTTGAAATGTCTACTCAAGCTCCAGATGGAGACAATCAGCTGGGGACTCAAGGAAAAAGGACAGTCTCAGAAAAACTAGCTTGGCCACTAGAATCACTTCCTAGACTCTAACGCGGAGATGGCGCCGCCTGCCTGCTGCTCCAAAGCGTGCCCGCCCAGGACAGCGCGGCACGACATGAACACCACAGAGCTTTGCGCGGTCTTTAAAATTCAATGCAAAGAAGGCAAAGGAATAATGGTATGCTACTTTCGTCCCTAGCTGAGACTATGAAAGCCAAACGGGCAACTTGGTGCAGAATGAAGACCATGGCCTGTGCAGCCAAACAAAAGTAGGCCTCAGCTCTGGTCTACCAGTTCCAGCTTGACACTCCCAAGCCTGTTTCCCAGCGAGCAGAGAACAAATCATTCTACTGCTTCGCAGGGCTCTGGAGGAAAGGACGCACGGGCCCAGAGACGAGCGGCACACTGCTCGGTGCACAGCAGGCTCTCGGCCTCAGGGAGGGGGCTCCACAACAGCGCGGGCTAACGGTGGAACAGTAAAAGCCTCAGTTATGTAACAATAAGCGATGTCTGGTCTGCTCGTCAACAGCTCAAAATCCGGACTGGAATGTGACTTAAGATGTGACAGACTGTGAAAGAGGCAATTTGCAGAGCAACACAAGCAGGAAGGGATGTACCAGAGAAGACACTACAAAAGAAAGTTTTAAATCATAAATCTAGAGCGGTAAATTCTGGGTATTCCCAGATGAGTCTAGAAAAACTAGAAACTGAAAGGCAAGTGACCAACCCACCAAATACAGGTTCCGCAGCTACAGAGCAGATACAGGGCTGGGACAAGTGCAATTAAAGGGGATTAAAAGATGACTTTACATCTGACAGGTTTCTCATTATTAGACTTACTGACTGAAGTGCGGCGGAATTTGTGAACATAACCACAGTAATAGTCATAGGGATCTTGCAAGCAGTTTCTCTCCGCATCCTTCTCTCCACTGAGTTTTTCAGGAACCAAAAACACCAAATCATTTTCCTTTGGATGAAGCTGTTTAGCTAGTTCACATTCCTTGAGATAAGCTACGAGACAAGAAGAAATCAGCATTTATATAACTTAGCCAGAATTTTATTTCATTTTTAAGATTTATTTATTATGCACACAAGAATTGGGGTGCAGGCCATAGGTGCGGCGGTGAGGACTCCCCAGAGACAGAGAGGGGAGCAGAGCAGGCAGACTGACTGAAACACACCGCTGAAGGGAGCAGTGGAGAGACAGGAGAGGTCTGCTGCGCCCTGTGGGTCCCTCCCTGGCCAGGGATCCGGGGATCCAACTCCTGTGGAATGCTTCACAGTGCTGTGGCTTAACCCCTTGCACCACCTAGAGAGGCCCCAGCCAGAGTTTTAAATGACTTAAAGGACAGTAAATCCTGGAACTCAGACTCAAGCGAACCCGACGCACCGGTGGGCACTACGGTCCCTGCCACACCAGTTGGTGTTTCGGAGGCTGAGTCTGCAGGGTGAAGACTTTGTCTAGGAAGCTGCTATAAAGCCCAATCCGTGAAACTGCAATATTTAAAGCAGTAGCTCCCAGTTTCAAAATTCCAGGAGCAGCCCAGAAAGAGAAGTATACATGAAAGTCCTGAGCCCACTGGTGACATTTCAGATGAGGGGAGCGCGGCTGTCCAATACGCGGGGCCTGGAGAACAGAACAAGCCCTGGAGTAAGGCGCGGCAGTGCCCATGAACCCCCAAGGCAATGGAACACGGGGGTGCTCGTGTGCTGCAAGGGGCACGTGCTGAGCGACACTTCAACGCAACGCGGCGGCTCCCACAAAACTGCAGACGCCGGTCGGCAGGCCTGGCGAGGGGATCGCAGGCGGCCCGCGCTGCCCGCGGGTCTGGGCCAGGTGCACAGCCACAGGCCAGCCGGGCGCAAGGCCCAGGCCCTCCAAGAACGCAGGTCCGCTGTGGCGTGCAGAAACAGCGCTGAGCACGGGAAGAGGGCGGGCAGCACCAGGAGTCAGACAGCAGAACCAGCGCAGTGACTCCGTTTACAGGAAGTCAAACCACGGCCGACGAGTCGCAGAGCACGGGCTACCTCAAAGGACGGGAGTGAGCAGGCTGCGTACCGGGGGCGGAAAGAACCTTTTACGATGGAAAAATTCTGCCGCTTAACTGAGGTGCACACACGGACGCGCCCTCCGCGCCCGTCACACTGACAGACTTGACGATTTAAGGTAAGCTGAGTGCTCCCCGCAGCCGGACGGTGGGAACAAGCCATGTGTCCACCAGCTGGCACACCCACCCCGTACTAGCCCCCAGGGGAAGGAGAAATGTTCTGACAGGTGGGCAAACCCCGTTGCTCTCTTCCTACACCCACAGGCTGGCCGGGTGGCCCAGCAGTCCTGAGCCTACTGGGCGGCCAGGAGGACACAGAGCATGCGTGATGGGCCGCTGCAGAGGCGAACTGTCGGCTACGGCCACCTCTGCAAAGACAGCTCCCACACACTGAACACGGCCAGGCGAAGCAGGGTTTTATGTTTTCTTCACAGCTCTGAACAACATCTAGAATCACGCTGCCAGCGGGCATGAGGTCAGGGAAGGCCTGCTGAGTGAGTGAAAACGTCCCAAAGTCGGTAAACAACTCCAATGCACACACTTCCCAGAGGGGAGCGCGGGGCCCGCGGGTAAGATGTGGACGAATGTGTGCACGGGGCTGGTTCTGGATGACGACGAGGGCAGTGGCGATTTTACTCCTGGCTGCGGTTAGGCGACGTTCTACAGGGACCCACCGCACCGTCCCCACGGCACACGTACGTGCGCTCGTCCGTAAGTGGGAGGAGAGAAAATCCCAAGGCCAGCTGAGGGTGACAGGATGGGGGATGCCACTCCCGCCCCCACGGTCAACACCCAGAGGTTGGTATTTACAGCTGCCCCGGTGACAACCCTCACTGAGGTTTTAAACATTCTGCGTAAAAAGCTACAAACTCAGAATAGGAAACATCATGGCCCACAAGTTCAACAACACTGTTTCCTCTAAGGGGACGGCTCCTGCAACTGGTGAAGGCCCAAGTTACTTAGGAAAAACTTACCCACAAACTCCCAGCTTTTTTTATATTCAGCAGGAAATTTTCGTACATGCAACTGATAATATTTCTCTTTATTTGGAGAACTCATCCATTCCTGTGCCACCTACACAAAACAGAGTAAGAAAGTTAAAATATCCTGGAAAGCTGGGCCCTCCCTGGTGGCGCAGCGGGTTAAAGCACAGCACTAAGAAACTACAGCCACTTCCGCATGAGTTCGATCCCCGCCTGCCCCAGAGGTGACCACATGGCGCGGCAGACCTCTCCTGACCCGCCTGCTGCTCCCCTCAGCAGTGTATTTCCTCGATCTGCCTGTTCTGCTTCCCGCTCTGTCTCTGGTGACTCCTCTCACCCTCCGCATTTCTGGCCTGTACCCCAGTTCTGTACAAATAAATAATAAATCTTAAAAAAAAAAAAATATCCTGGAAAGCTAATGCCAACCAGTAGACGTGTCCAAAGTGAGCGACAGTGAAATGTAAAACCTGGGCAGGAGACGGAAACATTAAAACCGCCTTCTTAGCCTCCTGCCGGCGGTCCTAGGCAGTAACCGGCTGTCCAAGTGGGGAAGGATAAACTCCCTTCAGAGATGCGCGATTGCCTATGTAGACTGAGGACGAACGCACAGAGCAAGGCTGCGGGCGCCGAGCCCAGACACAAGGCTGCCCCATTCCATGTGCCAGGCAAATGGAGCTGCGGGAGCAGCAGACTGCCATTTACACAAACGCCCTGAGAGGGCACCCTTGTACAAGTCTAACGAAGTGCATACGAGGCCCCCAGCGCGCCTGAGGGAACGCGCCTACGAGCAACTGAGTGGAGACCAGGTCAGTTCGTGGTCAGGAAGATGCAACACTGTCAAGAGGTCAGTTTTCCCCCCCTTAGCCTGCAGGTTCACTGCGATCCTAACCAAAACCCCAGCAAGTCATCAACTTAGGCTGGTTCTTAAGTTCTCGAGAGACGAGAGACGTAAACGCAGAAGAGCCCGCCCAACGCCAAAGCAGGCTGCGTGAGGCCCGACGCCGGCTCCGATGCCTCTCGGCTGCGGCGGCCACATGCCGGGCCAGAGCAGACCGGCCGTGGAGTCCAGCGGCCCTGGAAAGCAGCGATCTGACGTCAGCTCACCCCCCTTCACCAAGGCGCCGGGTGGAGCCCCGCAGAGCAAAGATGGTCTTATAGTAAAAAGGCGGTGGAGCACGTGGACATTCACGTGCCAGAGAATGAAGCCAATTCCAGACTTACACCCCGCACAGAAGTTAACGCGACACGGACCACGATCTGAGTGTAAGTACAAATGAGGGCCGCGCACACACCGACCGCACCCACAGCAGTGGCGCCGGATGCGACACAGCTGCGCGCTAGGTACACCCGCGCAGGACAAACCCCTCCTCACACACCTCGCAGACGCACCCGGGGTAGCCGAGGCACGACCGGCCGCAACGCCTAGGCCGCCCCGTAGGAAGCCCAGGTGACCCTGGGTGCGGAGAGGACTCCTACGGAACGCCAAAGGCAAGGACCGTGCAAGAAACAACTGAGAAGCGAAACTTTCCTACTATGAACATTTCTCTGTAAGAGACGACGTCAGTGAAGACAAGTAACAGACTGGGAGAAAGTCTCTGCAAAAGACACATCTGATAAAGACTTACCCAAAATACACAGAGAGCTCCTAAAACTCAACCAGAAAAGAAAATGACTGAATGAGCCCTTACGACACACCCATCGGCACAGCCAAACGCGGGCCAGAGGCCGGCAGGTGGGTGGGCATGGTGCGGGCCACTCCCAGTGCGAACGCAAGACGCACCTCCAGCCGCCCGGGCGGCAATTTCCTTACTAGTAGCGCAGAAACTGCACCACTTGCTTCCCCCCAGTGGACTGGAAACTTCTATCACACAAAAACCAACAGCTTCATTCGTGACTGTCGAGATTTGGAAGCCACCAAGAGGTCCTCTGGCCGCTGACTGGACATGCTGGGCACACCCGCTGAGCGATATCACTCAGCGGTGAGAAGAAACGAATCGTGAAGCTGTTTCTGCACCAGTGGAGACTCGGTCGTTGTGTTAAAGGGGCGGGGCAGGGAGGGTGAGTGGAGCAGAGGACAGTGGAGCTGTGCTGCTTGCTAACCTGGCCAGACGCTGGCCCGTGACATCAACCTGCCCGCGTCCCCCACTCCACACCTAGAGCACCCGCAGGCAGCAAGGCGACCGGCGCTTCACAAGCACCCGAGCCTGCACACGACCCGGAAGTCAGCTCACCAACTGGTGAATGTAAAGACCGGTGTGGTGTAGCCATGTGATTGTTACTTGGCTATGAACAGCATGACACCGAGACATACTTCACACACGAACGTCAGAAACACGACGCCAATGGAAAGAAGTCAGCTGCCGAAGGTCTCAGCCTTTACCATTCTACTGATAGCAAATATCCAGAAAAGACAACTCTAGAGAGACACAAAGTAGACCAGGGTCTCGCCTGGGGCTGGGACAAGGACAGAGTGAGAAAGTAGTCACAAGAGATGGTTGAGGGCAGTGGCCGTGTTCGAAAAGTGGACTGTGACGCGTACACGGCTGGCAACTTACTGAAACGTACTTGTTTGTATTCTCTGAAAGGGGGGAGTGTGTAGTGTGTAAGTTATGCCCCGGTACAAGTAAGTGTGTCCTAGTGTGTATAAGCGAGAAAAAGGAAGGAGCAGTAAAACCGCCATCGCTGCTTAGAGCTGAGCACCTACCCGAGCACCCAGGACGACGCGAGGCGTTCCCGCTGCAGCACACGGGCGGGCAGGCATTTCTGGCGTAGCGTTATTTGGGCCCAACATTAACTCCTAGAGCAACCCCACGAGCCAGAGGTGAGAGGACCCCCGTGTCCAGCGGCCTCCTAACGACTGCTGAGCTGGTGCCAAGGGAGTTTAGGAGTATTAGTGACTCTACCGTAGAACTTGGTGGTTTGCCCATTCGATGAGGTCAGTTTTACTGGCTTATAACCATTGGTCCTGGGGAAAAACTGAAGCCAAGAATGGCATGGGCCAACACCCTCACGCTGATGGACAGCAACGGTGCGAGCAGGTGCCCAGCACGACTCGGCTCAAAGCAATCCGGGCGCGTTCCAAGCTTGCAGCCGCCGCAGCGGCAGCCACGTGCGTGCGGCGGCTGCCGGCGGAGCTGGGCGGGGCCCGCCGAGCAGGGGCCGCGGGCCCAAGCTGCGCATTCGCATCGCGTCGGCAGCGTGCTGAGGCCCCCGCGCCAGCAGGCCGCGCTGGGAAGGGCACACAAAGAACTGCCCCCAGCCCCGCCGCCACCGTGCGGGAGGCAGGCCACGGAGAAACGGGCCACGCGGAGAGCTAGCTCTCCTGTGAGCTTACAGAACTTATAAAAAAAAATAAAGAGGGGTTCAGCCGTCTCACACTGAGGACAGGGAACAGGAGAGGGTGGCGAGGCGCAGGGCTTGAAGACGGTACTTCCTACAGCGGGAAGCCGACAGAACACATCAAAGGCAGATAGAGGGCGCACCAGAAGCGAGCCGGGAAGCGACCCGCCGAGGGAGCCACTCAACGCAGACAGCTGCTCTGGCCAAGAGCTGCCTGCCGTTTCCCGGAAGGGGCCTTCCAGACGTGCTGTGACGGTCCCACGACGTGTGCAGTACGCGTGCGACTGAGCTCATGCTGCTCTGAAATGGTACGACTACAAAAATGCCCGGAAGAAGACACTTAGAGAACGGACAAGCACCACCCACCTCAGGGAGAAGAGAACCAGAAACGTGTCCACCCTAATTCAAGGCCGTGAGTGGCTGCTAAGTGCCTTGCAGCAAGGACAAAGGCTCGGGCAAGCAGTTACCCAACGGCGAGCAGAAAGCGCTACTTTCTCCAGCTGCTTTAGCTGTTGGCGCTGGCCACTACGCTCCTGTTTTCCCGTGAGAAGTGATTCCCATCCACTCCGCTGCTGGGCCAGACAGAACTGGGCTCTGTCGGTCAGCTGTTGCTAAGGCCCCTGGCCACTGCCCCAGCGGGGGCCTTGACCCGGCAGCAGGTGCAAAAGCAGCTTCCCAAGCGCGGCTGAGATGCGACTGCTCCTGCTCCTTCACCACCGGCGCATCCTAGCCCTGGGGGTCCGCATCCCTCTGCCGGCACGGCCCCCCCCCCACGCCTCCCTCGGCTGGCTGATCCTGACCCCCACTGCCTGCAGACGGGCCCAGCCCCTGGCACTGCATTCCGGGAGGCCTGGACCCAACCCCTTGATCTCAACCGTTCACTATCTCTGGGCCTGCAACACACTCGGCACGCACAGGGCACCCCAGATGCGCTAGGTCAATCTTTACCCCACGGTGCTTCATTTCACTTGTAAGCATCTTAGTGCATATTCAAGCTTCTGTCCTTAAGGAATTTGAAAACCATAAAAAATCTACTTCCCGCCCTTGCCTGCTCTGGGAACACCAAGAACACCCTCACGGGCACACGGACGCTCGCGCCAGCCCCCACGGACCCCCCCAAGGTTCAAATTCAACGCGGACCCTGCGCCTTACTGGGCCGCCAGGAGGGCGGGCCGGGCGTGCTGGGCTGCGGCCGGCCTGCGGGAAGAGCGATGCTCCCGCCCAGTGGGAAACTGGAAGGGTGCGACGCAGGGAGCAGGGTCAGCAGGGTTGCTGCTCCGTGCAGGTCGATGCCCGTCACCCTGTGCTGCCTCCCCAAGGAAACCAGGGGAAGTCCTCTGCCTGGGTCCCTTTTTGGACGCGGCGGAGGGAGCGGCTCCTCTCACAAGCCTGAGTGAGAAGTGCCACTTCCTCCTACACCCGCGACAGCGAGCGCCAGCAGGGCGGTCCCAGTCGGCAGCCCTAGGCGAGCGGGACACAGTGGCACACGGCCCGGCGCCTGCAGACTCCGTGCAGGCCAAAGGTCAGGCGTCCAGCTGCGCTCCTCGCGCAGCCGCCAGAGCAAGGCCACCAGGGCGCGCGCCGCGGACAGGCACTTACTGTTTCAAAAGTATTCAGCACCATCAGGGGGAAAAACACACTGAAGTACTCTCTGTAGTCCTGAAAGCGGACCGGCACCGGTCTCGAGATGGACTGGCACAGGCTCGCCGGGGGCCCGCACTGATCGAAGATCACAAACATGTCGTATTTCCACTTCAAGACCTCTTTAACGAAGGCGTCGGAGATGGACTGCGACAGCAGGGGGCTGCTGGCCGGCGAAGCCGGGGAGAAGGGTCTGCTCTCAGCAAACGGAAGTCTGCCGGCCGGCCTGCTGGGGGTGCTCGGGGGCGGCGAAGGGACAGCACTGCACACACTCTTGCCCTCCCCCACCGGCTTCGGGGTCACCAGGCAGGCCGGTTGTGGTGCTTTCACAATGGACTGCACCCCATTTGACTTGTTTTTCAGAGCTGGGGGGAGCACAGCGTCATTTTCCAAAGACCTGGAGAGGTTAGCACTGCGTGAGGTACAACTGAAAATCTTAGTCCTGGAAGGCCGCAGGGGCTTGGAGGCCGGCAGGGGCAGGGCGGGCTTGCGGAACACGCCTTCATCGGCGGCTCTGGCCTCGGCGTGGGCTGGGCAGCAGTCGCCCGGGGCTGGCACAGCTTCGTTGCAATCTCTGTGCCTACACGTCACACCGCTCGGAGCGTCCAAGTGAGGCCGCACGGGGGCATCTCCGCCCACCTGAACTGCGTCTCTCCTCTGGGCGGGCTCGGGGACTGCATCGCTCTCGATCTCCATCTGTGAACACAAATCCATATCTTCAGGATCGTTCTGTGTTAAAAACAAACTCTCGTCCTCCGCATCGCTGCCGGCCTCGGGTTCTGGCTCCTTTCGCGTGGCCAAGGGTGAGGTGCGGACGCCCCCTCCTGCAGGGCCCTCGGACACGGAGGCAAGGGCCTCACTCGCCAGTATTCTTCCGTTTAGTGCCACAGACCCACACTGGCTCACAGGAGAAGTGTCACTGGTCGCCTCGGAAGCACACACTGCTTTCACGGATTCTGGCTCAGACGTGCGCTGGGTCAACTTTCCGTTACTGGCTGCAGCTGCTTCGGCGCCTCGTTTACAATCTGAGCGACTGGAGTCTGGCGCGACCACATCGTCGGGACTCTGTGCTGGGCGGGGCCTGGCGTTTTCGTTCTCAAAGCGTGCGTGTCTGTTTTGTGGTGCTTTGGGTCTCACCTGCCTTCGCAGCTGAAGATCCTGACTCGTCAGCAGTTTCTTGTTATTTTTAACAGAGAGAGTCTGAGGAGTGATCAACTTAGTCTTCTTTCTGGTATCAACGGCTCCCACGGTCTTGCCATGGTCACGCAACTGCACTATGCAATCCAAAGAGCGTTGCGACAGCTCAAACGCCCTGCGAGGAGCCTTCTTCAGGCCAAGTTTCTCCACTGTGGACATGGGCTCAGGACACTGGCGAGACTTCTTCGGAGGCACAATAGCAGGCGTTGTCCTGCAGCTTATATAGTTAGGATTTTTATTCTGCCCTTTCTTGGTATCTGGATGTGTTTTCTTAGTTTTAGAGACTGGGACCTTCCTGATGGGTTTAGAGTAAGCACGAAGCTTTGGAGAAGACTTCTTTAGAGCGGCCCCGGCGCTGTTCTCGGAGCTTGAGTTGGGACTTACAGTCTTTATGTCAGTAATTTTAAAATCGCCGTCAGTCAGCTCTCTCTCACTGAGAATATCAGACTGGTCCTTGCTGCTGGCAGATGACGACCTTACAGGATCTTCGGCTACCGGTTTTTCAAATCGTTTTCTCTTTGTTTTAAAAAATTCTGTGACAGAAACACCAGCACCCTGTGCTTCTGCACGTCCTCCGGGGCCCTCTGCCACCTTTTCCATGGCCTCTTCAAACTCATAACTAGGATCACAAGTCCAGTGGTTTGTGACAGCAGCTCTGCGTGTCACACCCGACTTTCCTTCATCCTCTTGAGTGGAATGCTTGTCATCCGGCTTCTGATCTTGCCAAACTGAAAACACTTCATGGGGACTTTCAAACTCAAAAAACTGAGACTCAGATTCTTCCAGCTGTAAAATATCCATTGCCTCCTCTTCCTTTACCACTCTTTCCACACACACGTCAGTGATCAGAGCACGCGGCTCTGGATATTGCTTCTCCACGCACACCTTATCTTGTCTGATGTGGGTCTCAAACTCCAGCATTCTTGCATCGTCGTCATCATCAGAATCTGAAATAATAATAACCTGTCCACAGCGGGCTGCCGCAACGGTATTCTGGTTTGTTACAAAACACCTTTCATCTTCTTTCACTTTTCCTTGTAGAGGGGACAGACTCTTTTGAGTTGAATCTGAGGGAAACTTAATAACACTGGCTTGAGCTATTAAAGATAACTTGTGGAGGTCTCTGTCTACCTGCGAATCTGTTAGGGTGTCAGACGAAGGACTGGCGCTCGAAGCCTGCTCTCTCAAGGCGGAGGAAACCTGACCAGCACTCGGGTCACTGTCCTCTCTCGATTCAAACACAGCTAAAGGGTCTTCAAAGGGCGGTGTTTTCTTCATGAAAGCACTGGTCATTTCTGTAAGAGAGACCAGATCTTTATCACCAGCAGAACAGTCCTGAACGTGATCACTGTTTTCACAGGAAGAGAAAATACCTAGCTCTTTCTTAAATTGTTTTTTCAGCAACAAACTGCTTTGAGACTTTTGTTCTCCATTTTCACCACCCAGAACACCGTTAGGATCTAAACCCACACTGTGCGCGAAGCCATCCCCTTTCTGACCTGCTGCATCTCTCTTTGCATAGAAGCTCTCAATGTCTGACAGAGTCCGAGTTGCCTCGAAATTGCCGACTGACATACTTCTCCTGTGCTGTTTCTTTATTACATGTGACAACTTAGCACAGATATCATCCTTTTGTGCTTTTTTTGTTTTTGAGGTTTTGCCAAGAGCATCATCCTTCAAGGCCAAGTCCTCACTTGGTGCGGCCCCGTTCTCCACAGAATCGCTGCTAGAATTAGCTAGTGAGCGCGCTGGTATCACTGCGCCCCCGCCACATCCCCTTTCCGGACCATTTCTTGAAATGCTCCTCTTTGGCATGTAGGAAGGATTCTCTTTTACAGACTTCTGCTTCCTTGCATCCATCTTGACGGAACCTGGAGCTTTCTCCAAGTGGTGGCTTTTACTAGCCTGCTTCAAGGATAGCTCAGCTGAGAGGTGGTCTTGCAGCTTTGAATCTTTTACGTAATGTTGCTTACCATCGTCTGCTACGGCGCTAGTTGCTTTGACCAATACTCTCTCTTGCATGTGAAAGGCATCAGCTTTCACTGGTTCTTTAGAAAATGTCGGGCTGGAGTTTTCCAGACAGTGCACGTGTTTTTTAGATTTCTTCCCTGTTTGCTCATTTTTTTCTTTTTTGTAAGCTGCAGGAGGGTTTTTACAGGCAGGCGCCAGTTCCACATAAGTGCTATACTGAGGAACCTTGAATTTTATGTTTCTGATAATTTGCTTTAAGCAAGTCTGTAGTTCATGGGTTTCCTGACTAGTCAACTGCCAGCCCAGAGACAAATTTCCCCGCAGGAACAGGTTGAGCTTATCCCAGAATCGCTTACAAAGCGTTTGCTGCCCCAGCTGATAGCCTTCTTTGAGGAGACTCCGGATCAGCTGCACACAAGCAAGCTGCACGGAGTTGGATGGCAGCGCATGCAGTGCCAGCGAGGACGCCACGGCTGACCCCCTGGAGCAGCTGCCAGCGGACTTCTCAGACGTCCGCGCGAACGCGGTGGCAGGAAGCTTGGCACACTTCACCACCGCCTCCACCCACTGCTGGGAGCTGACCCACAGCAAGTGCAAACACCTTTTGTTTCTATGCAGCTCAATCACTGACACCAAAATGAGAAGGAAAAACTCAGTCACTTTGTCACACATGGCATCTGCTTGGCCGAGCACGTCTCTGACTTCGGAGTGGAGATGGTGGATGACCTCCACGATGTAAGCCACGCCCAGGTCCTTCAGGTCCATGAGGGACTGAACGAAAGGGATGAACCACAGAAATGTGCTGTTGTGAACACGCATGTCTTGACCAATGTCCGACTGGAGCACGCTGGCTAGTGTTTCCATCTCTTCATACATGTTAGGGCAGTAATCTGGGCAAATGGCTGATCTCCACCCCAAGTCCTAAAACGAAAGAAAAAATGACATTCAGATAAACAAGGGGCGCTTGTGGTAGGTCTAACACAGAAGCTGCAACAGGAAAATAGTCTTCTTTTTTTTTCGTGGCTCTCTGAACGGGCTCATTACATACTGTTTTCAACACATATACCCCAAGAAATCTGGAAACTTGAATTATGAGGTCATTTTCAGGTAAATTTATAAATTCTCCAGACACTTGGCCCTTCTCCACAGATGCCTGCGACTTCTTGCCATTTCACTCATCTCCCCACCCCATAAACTCCCAGTTCCCAACTGCAGTGACGACTTCGCCTCCCCGCGTACACACGGGAGCCGGGGCCCACCCTCCACGACAGCACAGCACGGCACAGCTGCCCAATCAGGACGCCTCCCTGTCGCAGGGGCGAAGCCAGCAAGTCCGCTATGTCCAACATGCCTGAGTGGCCCAGAGGCAATCCAGAGCACAGCACGTCTCAAAGCTTTATACCTTTTTGGTCTTCTCAGGGTTATAATTGTACACAATCTGGCTGCAAGACACCATGTCATCCAAAAGTGACTCCGGTTCATACTTGGTCCTTAAATATTAAGAATAAAGAGAAATCACTGAAATGAAGTAAAAAAGAAAAAGGAAAAAAGACCTACTGCCCAGTCACGGCAGATGCGCTCTGCATGGCGTTACGCCCTACGTGCTCGCCGCACTGACCTTGCAGAGCTGTTCCGTATGTTCTGGATCTCTCTGTTGTAGCTCGCATTGTTGATGATTGTCTGAAAGGCCTCAATGGGATCAATAAGTTGACCCCAGACCTTAGATCCAAGGCGATCGAGAATCACCATGAAACAGTGTAACGCTGGCCAAAAAGGGTCCACACTATCATCTGAAACACAGCGTTGAAATCACCGAGTCACACAACAATCAGAAAGGGGCACGAAAGAAATACTGAGAAGCAAGCAATCTCTGGAGGTGGCAAGAAAACGGACAGAAAAGTAGTTAGTTGAAAGTGCTGCGAACCAGGGGTTTTTAAAAGTTGACAAAGTCATTAAATGTTTTGCATTTTCCAAGCAATGCCTTAGGATACTAAGACGTTTTTAAATGGGGAGTGATTAGCCTCAGTAAAAGCTTTCTCTAGAGCCCTCCCTGGTGGCGCAGCGGGTTACAGCACAACACTGAGAAGCTAAAGCTGCTTCCGCATGAGTTCGATCCCCGCCTGCCCCGGAGGTGACCACACAGTGCAGCTGCCCTCTCCTGACCAGCCCGCTGCTCCCCCCAGCAGTGTACTTCCTCGCTCTGCCTGTTCTGCTCCCCACTCTGTCTCTGGTGAAGCCTCTCGCCACCCCTGAGCCTCTGGCCTGTACCCCAGTTCTGTATGCACAAAATAAATAAATCTTTTAATAAAAAAAAAGTGATATATTTTTAAAAAAAGCTTTCTCTTATCTCTTTGCTACATCCAGAAGTCTTTCCTGCTCAGCTCTTCAACTTCTTCCAGAACTTAATACTACCCGCAGCGAATTAGAGGGGAAAAAAGGAGAGAAAGGAAAACTAGGTATTTACAGGTCTAAGAAAAGTCCATATACAACCAATTCTGGTTTAAAAGGACCCGGCACTTACACCTGGCTGCTGTAACGGCTGAGCGGATCCCTTAGCCAGCGTGCAAGCAGACAGGTGCGTGTCTCTATTTCCTGACCCCAACGTGTTTATCCCCTATGTGTGATGCCACAGGCAGGAATTCCCGTTCTTCACAAGCTCTCAGCTCTAGTCCTTTCCTGCTTCTCTATCAGACACAGTGGCAAGGCTCTGCCCTACTCCAAGGCCTCCTCTGCTCTGTGACGTCTCCAAGGACAATACAAAGAACCGGATCAGACACCTGAAGATCTTGCTGTTATTTCTTTGCAGTTCCATTTCCCACACACCCTCAATCATACCTCTTCTACAGCAAAACAGACTTCTGGTTCAGCCAGACTAAGCGCCCGCAGGCCTTCACAATTAGCACCACCTGTAAAGATCCTCGCCAACCTTCAAGGGCAATTCAAAAGCCTCCTCCCAAACACTGACCCCTAACCACCCACGGTCCTCTCCGAGGCAAGCATTCTCAGAACACCACTGACAATGTGATTTAGAACCTACAGCTTTATTTTCCTTGGATTCTTTAAGACTTTATTTTTCAATTCACAATCAGGGTCTTCTTGTTTACTTTTTTATCCTTGCTGCAGCTAACAGTCTGATGTCTGGTAAGTGCTCATGTAAGGAAGAAAACCCTCAGCTAGGAGATGAAGGCAATTATGAAAGTTTAAAGGTTAGGGAAGCTGCTCTAACAGAAGACAGAATTCTAGCTGCACAGGAGGAGCAATGAACAATTCATGTAGCAAATGTTGGACAAATAATTAATCGGGAACAAGCTAGGAAAAAAAATTGTGATCAAGAAGAGTATCATACTGGGTCCTCCCCGGTGGGAGCTAAAGCCACTTCCACATGAGTTCCATCCCCCCATGCCCTGGATGTGACCACAGGGCGCGGCAGACCTTTCCTGACCCGCCCGCTGCTCCCCTCAGCAGTGTACTTCGTCGATCTGCCTGTCCTGCTCCCCACTCTGTCTCTGGTGAAGCCTCTCACCACCCCTGCACCTCTGGCCTGTACCCCAGTTCTGTATGCATAAATAAATCTTTTTTTAAAAGAGAGTATCATATTTTAGAATTTCCCCACAGAGAGTTTCTATTTATGCAAATTGCCTTAAAAAAAAAGAGAGAACGACAGGGAGAAACGATGTCTTCACAGGCTCTGGCCACGTGTCTTGACTGACCCGTCCCCATAAGAAGAGCACACACCATTATAGGTCCGCCCTGACCAGCCTGACACACCCCTGGGTCAGGGGCAGGGTTGAGGCACATGGTAGCTCCAGAGCTTTCTAGACTGTCCACGACACGGTGCAAGAGCTCTTTCTGCAGTGATGGCAAGTCCTATGGACACACTGTGACACAGGCCGCTGGACACATGCGGCTACCGAGAACTCGAAGTACAGCGACTGGGACTGAAGAGCTGAGATCCGTATCGGCCACATGTGGCTAGAACCTCACGCTGGAACCCTGGAGGACCGAAATGAAATGAAGAAGCAGGAAAAAGGGAGACAGTGGGAAAGGGAAGGCTTTTCTTCTGATGTCAGCACAGATTTACCTCCTATAGGTTCTAGTCTTGATTCTTCCATTCAACAAGTGTTTCAACACGAAAATGAAGGTAAACTTCCCCAGGCTTCAGTCTCTTCTTTGATGAAAGCAGGGTACAGAGTTAAACTCTAAAGGTCCCTTTCTAATGCAAAATTCTGAATCTGTGACCAAAACTGTAACAAGTTCATTCTTTTCTCCACATTGTGCACCCCAACTCTTGCAGTGACAGGGCTATTTTAAAAGTGCGTCATCACCAGATTCAAAAGCATTTAGCAAGTAAAGTTCATTACCATCTGCTTGCCTCTCCATGGTGTGAAGTATTGACTGCATGAAATCATTTTGCTTTTCTGAGCCCAACAACAGTGAATCCATGGCTTGCTCTTCGAGAATGGTCAGCAACATGCAAATACCTGTAAGATCATTTATAAAGTTTTCTTGGATTAAGTAGCACTATTCTAATGCCTTTTTGGGTTTAGCATAAAGAGCGCCACGTCAGAGGGACAAAGCAGGACAGCGCAGTTCCCCAAATGCCTGAGCCAGTCACGGTAAGTGCTTCCCAGCACACGGCAGACTCCCTGGAGACTCAAAAAGGAAATGACACGAACTTGGCTGGAAACCAGCCAAGATGACCACCGCGCCACTTGCATTCCGCCACCAGATTTCATGAACTCATCACCGCCTGTCTTGACATGTGAGGCTCAGGACCACTTTGAGCCCATGTAGAAACTTGCTTTTTCCTCCAGGAAAATATTTTGCATAGGGGAAAACGGGCATCAAACTACTTTTTAAGAATTAGTTCAAAGTGTCTAATGTCTACCAGCTGTCAAAGTTAACCACCATACTAGTATTTTGTGGCATCTAAGTTTGAAATATAAGACCTGCCATGGTTGGAAACCTGCGTGAAACAGGTGGTTTCTAGGATAAAATTTTAAAACAGGATGTGTAGTGGGAAGTGAATTTAATGACACTGGGAACTGTAAAGTCCTCCCTGGCCAGTCTAATCGGACTGCCCAGAGGCCGCTTCAAGCGCAGGCTTCCGGCCCCTCACGGGAGCAATGTGGAAACACACGCGGCGTGGCGTGGAAGCACTCACCAAGCCAGTAGTTCTTGTAGTTGGCAGTGTCGTACATGTGTGAGGGGAGAAGAATCAGTTTGCCCTTCTCAAGGACAGATGAGGTATAGATGTCCGGACTTTCCAAAAGCCCCAACTCAATGACTTTGAAAAGACAAGTCAAAACTTCCTGTAAGTCATAGTAGTCATCTCTGTCCACTTTTCCCAAGTTCCTTGCAGTCAGGATAGCCCAACGTCGAACCTGAAAGTGTAAGAGATTGGTTACTTCGTTCAACGTATGCCCACATGAAGAACCTTAAGAAAACAGGTTTCTCTGAAGCTCAAGACATTAGACATTAATATACTAATCATGCAATGTGTGGGGCTTAAACAAACCCTAACGAACATGTGCAATAATCATTTCCATTCATTTAAACATTGGCTGGCACTGCATGAGGAGATTTCTATTAGCGGGAGGCTTTAAAAGCGCTTTTAAATATCAAACTCTCCAGTGGGCAAGATGCTCTGATGTCTGAGATCTACTCTAACGCGAAGGAGACCAGAACATTGTAGTTGCTAAAACTGAGCAAGGAGGGCCCCGCCGGAGGTGCAGCAGCTGCTCCCCTCAGCGGCGCACTTCGTCCATCCGCCTGCTCTGCTCCCCACTGTCTCTGGGGAATCTTCTCACCACCTCTGCACCTACGGCCTGTACCCCAGCTCTGTATGCATAAATATTTAAAAAAAAAAAAAAAACACTGAGTAATGGATGCCGGCGGGTTCATACCACCCTGCTTTTGTATACTTGAGTTCTTCCATCACAAAGTTTTAAAAAAGGAAAAAAAATGAAGAGAGGTCTCAAAAGCCATCAACAGTCACCTCTGAATGGCAGTGTAGCATAGGGAGGAGAATTTAAATCTCCTGTAGGCTATCGATTAAGTGCCAGAACAAATAGCCAGCGTCGCCCTCACAGTGCGAGCGCGGCTACACACCGCTGCCGGGCACGCACGTGTGGGCCGAGGTTTGCGGGGCCCCATTCTCCGCCCTGCTGCTTCCCGGTTCCCTGTGCACTCCCGCTGCACGGCAATCCCACCTGGACTTCTCTGACACTCGCAGGTGTTTTGTTCCAGCCACATTTTTCAGCTTATGTGGCCTCTTGAGTAAAAGACATCCAAATTCTTGCTGGCTTCTTTTTTTTGGGTGAGGGCTAGGGAGCCAGACTTCTGATTTATGCTATAACCCTTCAGGACACACTTGCAACTCTGGCCTGTGCATGGACCACTTTTAAATACTGGTCTTTCTGATACAAAAAGCATCCCTAAACTCACCATCCAATGCAAAAATGTAGGTCCCCTCGCCAGACACACACCTTTCTCCACAGGCCTCCCAAGCTGGGACAAACGTTATCTTCAATTCCAAGCACGTCATTCCTCATTTTCTTATGTTCTAGCATTTACCTGAATTGCTAAAAGTCGTGCAGTGTTTTGTTTTTGGCTTAAAAAAAGGGTTTCCTCCTATGAAATCTCTAGAGACTTTCGTTAAATGCCTTATAATTAACATTTATCATTTAGTTTCAAGTTGACCATTGGTTTTGAGTTACCCAACACCCCCCTGGGCGAGCACACTAATTTACTGACTCTCCAGCAATGAAGCACTTGGGCTGTTTCCAATTTTTGATTTCTGGGGCAGAGTGCTATGGAATTTCTTACATATCAAGCACATCCTGTTCTAAACATTTAAGGTATCCCCAACATTCACACCCAGGAGTGAACCTGCTGGATCACATGTGACCTGACCCACGAATGCCAGCGCCGCTGCACTGCTGATACCTCTGGACACTGCTTGCTCCAGTGCCCCAGGAGCGCAGACCCTCCCGCCACTTCCTATACTTTTTAGCCTTAGTGTGGGACTTCTTCTTCTGGGAAATTCCTCTTCAGGACTTTGTCCATTTTTCTTTTGGGGTACTGTTAGTACTATTCATAGTTTCTCCCAAGTTACTTTTTTTTTTTTAATTTTCTTTAAAGCATCCTGTGACAAATATTACATTCTTAACTTTGATATAGTCAAACTCATCAACTTTTTAAATCAATGGTTTCTTTTAAAGAAATCTTTCCTTCCCCTCAGATATAAATGATAAGCACATTTTCTGCAAAAGTTGGGTCAGTTTTTGACATTTAATCCATTTACATTTATAGTTTATTGACACAAACTATACAACTTCTGTCAACTGACAAATTCCAAATGGAAGGGAAAAGCTCTGAAAAAATCAGACTTTCCCATTGATAACTTATGTTACGACCTCCCTTTTTGTATAATTATAGTATCAAAAATATTCTGAGCAACCATCAGTTTGCAACTGAACTGCCTTAGCTTCATAAATCGGCTACCTGGCCAAGGTAAAGTACAGCCAAACCCCCACCCCCAACCCACCCCCCGGGCAGGAAATTCCTCTGTGTCCAGAGAGATAAGGACTCCCAGGAAGCTTCCTAAGTCTTTTGACACAAAAAGCAAACCTCTGCTAAGACTCCCAGGGCATAAGGACTCATGACAATGTCCTAACATTTTTGACACAGGTTTTGTTTAATACATGACTATGTGACTTCCTCTTAGTTTACTCTTTCCTTAAACAATCACTAACTACTCTCTGCTAGTCTTCATTAACCTTTCCTAAAACAAACACTAGCTTCTCTCTGCTAGCCTTAAGTCAGCCATTAGCTTTTCTTTAGACTATCACTGATGACTCTGCCAGCACAATTTATTCCTTCCCCGGGACCCCAAATCCCTTGCTAACGGCTCATCCTCTCCCAGGTCCCTGACCCTTTGCAGTCACAGCTGAACATCCGTACACATGAAAGTGATCACAAATACGACAGTCTAGAAGGCCCTAAAGTGGCAGGAAGAGGGTGCACTGCTCCCCTCCTCCTGAGAACTTTATGCTGATTTCTTACTAACTCACTGATGCATTATTGTAACTAACTCTTGCTAAACAGTACAAATAAAGACCTGCTAAAAAGATGAGCAGGAAGACTTGTACCCAACTGCGACTCCCATGTCCTCACGCCCACTCCCCTTCCCCACTTCTTGGAATCTCTGCTCTCTGACGCCGCTCCCACCTAAAAAGGCCCTGATCTCTGAGAGCCTTTGATTGGGGCCAGTCCCCAACAGTTTATGACTATGACCTAGACCTAACTTCTTCCCCTTTTCCACAGCTACTTTAATCATCCCCACTTCCAGTTTGTCTTTTCCTCATTCACTTACACGATCGATAGTCTCCGTAACAGGAAAGGCCTGCATATGCAGGAGTCTGCTCGCGCGCGGCCATCCTGCCAGGCAATGCGCCTGCCTGGAGCCAACAGGCTGCTTTCAATGCCAGGCTTGAGTAAGTCCTGTTTCTTCATCTCCTGTTTTCACCCTTCAGCTATGTCCTAGGAATTCTGGCTCCTTTCTCTTCTATGTAAGTGGTTTAGAACCCTCTTAGCATGCCAGGCTGAGCATACTGCTGGACTGTATTTGAAATGCGGGCAGTACCCTTCCACACGAAGCCTTCCCGTCCCAGGTCCAAGGACCCCTCCACTTGTTTCCTTTCCTGTCAATCACATTTGACAACCTGCCTGCAGAGGTCTTGCGCGTGTTACAGATACGTGCCTAAGTGGCATTTTCTGACTCTATCATAAAGAGAAACTTCTCTTTAATAATTATTGGCTACCCATGTAGAGAAACATAACAGACTTTTATAAATACATTTTTTTTTTTTTAAAGATTTATTTATTTGTACATACAGAACCGGGGTACAGGCTAGAGGCTCAGGGGCGGTGAGAAGCTTCACCAGAGACAGAGTGGGGAGCAGAACAGGCAGATCGACGAAGCACACTGCTGAGGGGAGCAGCGGGTGGGTCAGGAGAGGTCTGCCACACCATGTGGTCACCTCCGGGGCAGGCGGGAATCGAACTCATGCGGAAGTGGCTTTAGCTTCTCAGTGCAGTGCTTTAACCCGCTGCGCCACCAGGGAGGGCCTATAAATACATTTTATGCCCAGTGACTGTGTCTAATTTCTGTTTCTCATAACTTAGATTTTTAAAGGGTTTTCTATGTAAATGATCCTATCATTGCAAAAGTAGCATTTTTTTTTTCCTTTAAAATATTGATGCTCCGAACTTCATTTTCTGATTTCTTCACTGCACTGACTAGAATCCTAATTTAAAACACTACAGAAACTTTGTGTATTCCTGGGGATGCTTCACTAAAAAGTAAGTACAATTTGGATAACATTTTCTTTAGTTTTTTTTTTAAATAGACTATCAGATTCTAATCTGTGAACACACTTTAATCAAATTTCATTTCATAAATTTTTTTGCATCTATCAGTCATACAAACTCTTGTTTTGACCTGTTAATACAGTTATAAATTACATTTATTTTCTAATACTTAAAGATTTTTGTATCTATATTAACAACTAAGCTTTTAATGTTTTAATTTTTTTTTTAGAGTTAACACTGTCTTAAATGTGGCAGTATTTTTTCCCAGGAAGGAGACACATAAAATGAGGATACTCTATCCTGAGAGTATGTAATGTAACTCCTATATGAAATCAAGTGAGCCCACCTTTTTTGTTGGGTGGGGGGGAGGCTAGCAATGATTGATTTATTAAGTTGTAGCACCCAACAGTTTACTGAGCTCTATTTTTCTTGGGATTATTTCTCTAGGTTTCAAAGCAGATGAATACACCTGTCAACAGCATTTACCACCAGGCGCTCTACTTATCACAGCAGGGCCTGCTCCTCGTCTGTTTATTTCTTCCACTTCTCTTCATCCTTCTTGCCAGGATTTGTTCACTTTATCAAGTTTTTATAAAGAGCCGACTTTTAGGCTTAGGGATTGCCCCTATTGCATGTGTTTTATCTGTTGCTAATAGCTCTACTCACTATTCGTCATTATCTCCTTTTCACTTCAAATTTATTCTCTAGCTTCTGAAGAGGAACAAGCTAATTCTGAATTGTTCTTCTTTTCCATAATCATACAAAGATACAGATTTCCCTCATAACACCTCTGTTGTTATATCCTACAAGTGTTTACTTGTATTATCATCATTATAATTTAGTTGTAAGAATTTTTTTTTGGCCCTCCCTGGTGGCACGACAGGTTAAGACACAGCACTGCAAGCAAGCCACAGCCACTTCGGTGCAAGTTTGATCCCTGGCCGAGAGCTGACCCACAGAGCCCAGCAGACCTCTCGTCTCACCCACTGCTCCCCTCAGCAGTGGACTTGGTCCATCCGACTGTTCTGCTCCCCGCTCTGTCTCTGGTGGATCCTCTTACTGCCCCTGAGCCTCTGGCCTGAACCCAGTTCTGTATGCCTAAGTAAATAATAAGTAAATAAATAAAAGTGGAAACACCTTCACTGTTCACGTCTACCCGAGGTGCACTATGACCACAGCAGGCACAGCTCTCCCCACAGCAAGACGGGTGCCAGTTTGTAGCTCAGTGCATACGTGAAGAAGCGGCGAGACAGACCGCTCACACCAGGTCATGATTTCAGCGGGCGCCTGACTTACCACTACCGAAGGGGAATATGTGGGGTCTCCCACGACAAATGCACCCGCCTGTCCTCGTAGTTCTACCAACAACAGTTGCCGTCTACTGTCCTAAGCCTGTCTCACCAAGCATATCACCCACTGAAAACTGTGTCACAGATGAGTCTAACTTTTGGTTGATCATACAGCAGTCCTCACACCCCCTTGCTCCAGGCTGTTGACTCCTTACGCTGCAGCTTCAGCAGCTTCGCCTCGGCTAGTCCTTGTCTAGTCTTCTCTGACCCCTTACATCAACCCTTTGAACCCAATTTTTAGCTGTGTCTCTATGAAACAAAAGCTATCTAGATTTTATTTCTTTCATAGTCCCAATCTGATCTTTTTTAACTGAGTCATTAAATCTGATATCCTTAAAGCTGCTTATATGAGATTAAAAATTCTGCTGATGACTATCACAAAATAAAAAAAAAAACTTTATATTAACCATGTTTTCCTATTTCTTTAAAGCAATTTAAAAACTAGCTCTTATCCACCTCTGCCCTTAATAGGAGGAAACCTTAGCACACAAGCTCACATCTTTGGTCTCCTAACCTGTGAGCTCCACCCTACTGAGGGTGTTTCATCGGAATTATTACTGCTACGTCACGTTCCGGAAACTATTTTGTCAATAATAATATTAAAAATATACAAGTCAGCTTATATTAACTCTTACAACATATTCAGAGCCCTTCCTTTTCATGTACTCTTACTTGCATACTTCATCTCCATCTGTGCTCAGGAGCAGCACCCACAACTCAGGACCCCACCTCTGGCCGCTGAGGGGTACGCGGCCCCGGTGGCGGCTGCCGGGCGCCCCCGCAGTGTGCAGCTTTCTCAGAGCCGGTCCCAGAGGCACCGGACAGAGCACCCTTTTCTTTCACCGTCAGGAGAGCTCCGCCCTCGTGTGAAGCAGAGCCCGGGCTCTCTAGTTCGTGGCCTTGCAAGGGGTACACCTGTAATTCCTGTTATTCTATGCAAACCAAACCCCCAGCTACCCACAGCCACCCAGACTGTTTCCAGTCACTTTGTGTATGTGTCCTACTGCTGGTTCACAGAAACATTTACCTTTTGAGGGACATGACGATACTTCTTCAAATGATTCTTTTAAATTTTTTCTATCATTGCTGTGTTTTGGCCCAGAGGAGACTGAAATTCACCTTGCCTGGAAACTCCACTACTCAACTTTCTTTGCTGCTTACAAAACTGTTTAAAACTCCCCCTTCCTAGTCTCACTGGCAGGGCAGCCCTTCACAGCCCCGCGTGTAAGGTGGGACTCAGATGCATGTGGTGACCCGTGGACGCCAGCACAGGTGGCCCAACCGGCGGCCACCAGACGCAAGCGCCAGCCGGGCTGGGGGCAGAGCACCAGGGCCGCCCCTGCTCGGCTGCCGCCTTCTTCACGGCCAGCCCTATCCCACTCCAGCCCCATCTCTTAGAATCTCACCCACTGGCAAACTGACTTTCTCCAGTCTGTTAGCTAGTATTCCCCATGTGTCTGCAGTGGGGCAGTCCTCCATTAGATCAGGCCAACACAGTGAACAGAGCTCAGATCTTCCCCTAATCGTCACTGTCAATATTCTCCCCCTCTCCCCCTCGAGATGCTTCTCACTGACCACACCCCATGCAACCGTAGCAACCTTACAACAGAAAAAAGCAATTTTGACGAACATTTTAAACAGAATACTTATCAAAATCCTCTATCGTTACTGCTAAAATAAAGTGCTTTCACTGTCTAACATTTTTACTCACCATTTCATTGGGATGGACCAAAAACAAATAAATCCCTGGATGTTTGTCAAAAACCTGGAAAGAGCAATTAGCTTGTTCCATCCGACAAAGGGCTTCAACACATAACTCATCTAAAGAGAAAAAAATAAGGTCAGTGTAAGTCTTCTCAACTCACCAAGGTCCTCTAAATCTGGCTCCTTCCACTGTTCTCTGAAAAAATGGAAAGTTCTTTTTCTTTACGCCGCGGCATACAGACCTGAAATGTAAATGCAGGAACCGCATTTCCGTATCTCACCGACTAGCAGGCGGGTGACCCGACTGGCGCCCGCCTCTTCGGGCGCGGTGAGGCTGTCTGCGCCCTCTTGTAAGGAGGGCTACGGGGCCAAGCCCGTCAGCATTTCACCTTCTGGTCCGCGGGACGCACCTGGCACTAGCGTTTTCTTCCCACTACGGCTACGCTGCGCCGCTCTCGTTTCCTGACTAGCCCATTTCTCCCAGGCTGCTACACGCCAACACCGTCTCTGAGACACACTCAGTCCCCGGGCTCTCGAGGCCATTCCAGCAGCCTGTCTAAGCCGGTGCTGCTTTCATTTCCTGTGCTGCATGGAAATGTCCCTACTCTTTCGGCAGTGTGCTGTATAAACTCACACATTTGCCACGGGAGATAAATCAACTTCAGTTTGGCAGACTTGAAAGAACATGGTTTGGGGAGAGGGCAGCGTCGGGATGCAGAGCCATGGCCAGTCTGGCTGCACACACATGCTCAAGGTGTGAAGGGCCATAAACTACCTCCTTTCCTGGATCTAAGTGTTCGAGAAACAACTTGCTAGGGTTTAGATCTAGTGATTCTGAATTTACCTATCAAATGCTTGGATTACTTTCAGTTTACTACAAACAGTACAGAGAAGTAAGCTAAACAGGAAGCCATCAGATCAGAGAGGGCATTGCTTTACAGGCAACCGCAGTCTCAAGGAACCAAAGTCATGGCCAAGAAAAGAGAGAGAAGCATGTGTTCATATACATAAACTATCTGCGTTACAAAGGATGTGAGGCCCCTCCCTGGCGGCCCAGGGGTTAAATCTCAGCGGTCTTACTGCTATGGCCTGAGACCCCTGGCCAGGGAGCTGACCCACAGGGCACAGCAGACCTCTCCTGTCTTTCCCACTGTAGATCCGCCTGTCCTGCTCCCCATTCTGTCTCTGGTGAATCCTCTCACCCCCAACCTCTGGCTTACACCCAGCCCTTGTATGCAAAAATAAATAAAATTAAAAACCAAAAACCAGAGATGTGAGATACAGGAATGTAATGTGCGCTCCTGGCTTGTCTCGAATTTAAACACAGCTGCCTAAAACCGTCTGGCCACTGCTGTGAAAATCTGAACATGAATATATTAGATACCTTTAAGGAACTGTGGTCTTGTTAGATATGACAGATTGGGAACACGTTTTAACTTTTAAGACATCCATAGTAAGAAATGCAAACATAAGCAATCAAAGTCTAGCCATGCTACGCCATGACACAGCAATCAGTGAAAATCACCACAGAGCAGTGGTTCCAAACAGGGCAACTGTCCCCTCCCCACCCTGCCCCAGGGACATCTGGCAATGCCTAGAGATATTTTTGGCTGTCTCAGCTAGGGAAGGTCAGAGGGCCGGGTGCAACTGGCAGCTAGTGGGCTGAGGCCAGGAACGCTAGTAACCATCCACGAGGGACAGCACAGCCCCCACAAGAAAGAATTTTCCAGTCCAAATTATTAGTTGTGCCAAGGTTGAGAAACTCTGCTACAGACAAACAGAATGAAAATTAACGGAGCGAACAGCTGCGCAAACGTGACCAAGCAAGTGGACCACGGAGCTGGCGCCGCAGATGCGCGCGGCGCCTGCGGAACTCACGCCGCACGCACCTGGACACCTGCCCCGCAAACGCTGTCATTACGTATCCTAACTACACTGAGCGGACAAATTTTCAATGCAGGTAAGGCTGAATTCTTGCAATTCTTAATATAACTTAAGGAACGCTAAGATACTCACTAACGCGTTCATGCAAAAGGAGGTAAGGATACTTCAGAATTTCAAGAAGAGGAACTCGAAGCTTGTTTTCAAAGTCTTGGCCGGTGAAGTCAAACAGCTGCGCCTCCCCGTTGTTGTCTACTATGTACAACTCATCGTCATCTCCGATTTCTCCCTTCATGGATTTTTCAAAGTAATTTATGAGCCGTAAGGTTTCTAATTCCCACAAAGCCTTCAGGAGAAAAACACGGACAGCATGCTTTAAGCCTTCTCAACAAAACGTGATGCTCTTCCTAGAGATGTTCTTTTTCTAGTTCTAAAATTCAGAAGTCTGAAGTACTAGATATCAGTACTACATTTCTATAAAGGAAACACGGCCACTTTTATGTTCCATGAGTACTTGGAGCAATAGTTGCTTAAACATCTTGCAGAGTTTGGCCATAAACACCACAGCATGCCTTCAGCTCTATTAAAATGGAAGTCAGCTGGGGCTTCTTGTCAGAGACACCAGGTAGGGCACCGATCTTCTAACCAAAGGCACTTACTTAAAACACCAGCTTTAACATAAAGACATTTCTAAAACTCAGAATTTGTAAATGCCAAAGTTTTCACAACAGGTTCATAATCAATCCTCCTTTCTGATTTGCACTTACCTCTGTAGTCTCTGTTCCGTTGTTCATCAAAAAAAAAAAAAAACTAGATGTTCAAAGTCACATATTTAGAAATGCTTATTGCACTAGGTGACAAAGACGGGAAGCTATATCTACTTTTACAGGCTTAGTTCCATATGCCCATTAAAAAAATGAAAAGATGTGAATGCACACACCTGAAATAATATGTACAGTGTTGTAAGCCAACACTGGTTACCTCAGTAATTCTTTTTTTTTTTTTTTAAGAAAACAACCTACTAATCAAAAAGAATAAAGAATTCAATCACCAGGACTTTGAATGTAATCCTGTCAAATATATTGTCTTAAAAAGAGGAAGCCAAAACCCCACACATCATGTTATAATTATGTCAAAATAAGTAAAAGTGATGGGCCATAAAATTCTGCTTCCAGTTTCAATTCCATGCCATCAGTCAGGAAGCATTTAGTCAGCGTCTACGACACACCAGTGAGTTAGGCCCCAGACAGACAGCAGCCCTGGAGGAGTGAGAACTCCCCGAGTTCTCTGAAGCTCCCTGCAGACCTGGAACCTATTCCCTCCTGGCTGCCAGTCCGGAAAACACTGCCATCCGATGTCGCTTACCTCATGCAGGAACGGCAAGCTCTCTCTCGCCTTGTGGTACTCAGCCACACACTCTAAGCAGTAGCAGAGGTCCTCATCAGCTGTCTGGAACTCCCTGGAGCAGGTCCTGGCGGCATAGCGCTTCAGGAGGTCAGCGGTGGAGACACCACCCGGCGTGCACCAGCAGCACGTGCTCATTCTGCAGCTAGCACAGGAAAGATGGTGTCTAAGGCGACAGTAGGCGCCTGTGGCGCATCCATGAAGACTGGGGCCGCCTACTAACGACCTCACGTTCGACTGGAAGCACGCCTCCAAGCGGCCCGAGTGTCCTGTGACTAGTGAATGCTGGCTGAGCGCGGCTCTGAGATGTTCGTTAAAATCTAATTTTGACACATGAAGAGCTATAGTGAAAGTACTTTGTTAATTACAAACATCATGGAGTAACATGCAGTTGTGCCACAAAGAAAACTGCATAACACTTACTGATGGAAAATACGGAGAGACAATTAGCAGGGTTTCACAGCACAGATCTTGAAGTGTTCTGATGGCGTACTGGAGTCAAGCTTTCACATTCTGCAGAGACATGTTCCTCAAACGCCTGGAAACATAAAACCACCCAAGTGTTAACCATATCAGTCATAAAAACTCACAGAGGATTTGCTCGGGCCGATACAATCTATGCTTAGCAATTTGCACCTATGTGCCCTGGACTGCTGCCGCAAGAGCGGGCTGGCCCCGAGACTCGCCTCAGAAGAAAACAGGGATAAGCAGGTGCACCGCGGAGACACCTGGAACACAGCCTCGACCACGTGACCACCATCAGGGTGAATCGCATCCAGGTGTGACGAGGGAGGGCTTTCACCTCTGCAGCGCTTCCCCAAACCCATACATTAGCCCAGCTCACTCAGAAGAAACACTCCCAGCCCGAAGTGGGTGAAACAAACCCCAACGCGAGGCTTACCTCCACAATATCAGCCAGCCTGCAACAAGAAAGACAAGCACCAGCCCAAAGGGGATTAAAAGTGTTCTTTCACATAAAAAGCAGGGTTTGTTTGGAATTGAGCCAGGAAACTATCTGACAAATCTGACCTTGAAACGTCTGACTTAGCTGCCCAGTGAATGTCAGCCATCAGCCTGCTGGGAGGGCGCACTCGACCCCGAATGCCCATCACACAGATGCCCTGAGTCGGCTTGGCTCGCGGCGGCAGCATTCCTGGCGGAGAGGGGCTGGGCACAGAGCTGGCGGTGCGCGACTAGAGGGCGGATCTCTGCGGACCGGACATGGGGGGCCTGCCAGCAGCACCCTGCTACTGCGACCGCCATGGTACAGCGCCAGCGCCACAAGTCAACTAAAGTATCTTATTTTCTGACAGCTACATGCACATGAAAGTAATCAAATACATGCCTTTGTTTTATGGACTTTTTAATTACCTGTTATGTCTATACTTTCATGCTTCTAAAGTGAGTTTATTATACTAGCAACAGAAAAAAAGACTTTAAAAAGATTTTAAAGTAGAAATCAGTATTTATTTAAAGAAATACATTTCGTTAAGTCTTCCATTAGGGACCTCCTACAAAGCAGAGTAGACGAACAAGCGCCACCCAATCTTCAGATGAAAACAAAGATGCTCGCCCGTTCTGACAGTAATTCTAATCCAGTGACACTTCATGGATTCCTACCTTGGACAACTAAGGGAACCGAAGTAACACTGTGGATACTATGTTGCGACCGGACACAAACCATTCACAGTCACAGAAGAATTTGGTACACCCAATATCTTACTGCCAGGAAGCAGAAAGTCTGTGGAGACTTTCTCCAGTGATCTTCGTATGAGAAGTGAAGTGAAAAGATTTAAGAATAGAAAGTGAAACTCTGATTATTTCCCAAACATCAATGGTTTGAAACTGACTGCAGTCAATTCAGACTTTAAAAACTTAAAGAAGGGATTGAAGTACAAATAAAATGTTTACTTTTTTAAACATTATAAATAGCACCAAACTAGAGTCTGCTTTTTACTTCACTCAGAGAGCTATGGAAGCAGAATCAGTTTTTCTCAAAGTAGTTGGACATTACCACAAAACAGATAAGGGCTACAGAACCCAGACTGTACAAGGAGTTGTCCCACAGAGCACTTCGAAAACAGAAACGCAGGTCCATGTGCTCTCAAAGGGTCATGTATGCGTTTTGTCCCCAATCCGAAGTCACCACTGGCCTGACAGCAGCGGCCAAGAAACCTGAACAATGTGCTGCTGGTAGAGGACTGGCTGTCCCCTAAGACTTTGTACAACTCGGTTCGAGAGATCAGTTTTGTTAACTTTTCGGGTTTTAACTGGCTGGACCATTCCTGAACCACATATGGATGAACTGGGGAACCCTCAGGCCGTGAGGCAGCCAAGGCCAGCCCCACATCAGACGTAGCCGACTGCCAACGATAAGGACTCTACCCAGCGGTGTGGCTGTAACATGCTCAGTATTAAGTTGGTGAGATGAGGTAACACTTTCTTCTACACTTCCCAGCTAACTTGTTGAAATAGAAATCTGCATCTTTATTTCCTTTGCACCCTGGTTTCTATCAATGTTTTCACGAAAGCACTTGATAACCTCTACTACCAAATCAAACAGGATCTTTACTGGACTCCTATACAGCCATGAAAATGTTGACTACGCTACCCAGTTTCTTCACAATCACTTCTTTCTTTACTCCCACCCCAACAGCATTTTCCAAGGCTTGTTCTCAGGACTCTAACCTAATCCAGTCAATACCCCCTTCTGGGTGACTCACCAACCACCTACGCTGGAGCATCCCAAAGAGTGGACATATGGAAGACTCCCCGCGCGGTGCTCAACTGTTTCAGCGACTCCGTAAACGAGCACTTGGCCTCACAGGCCGCAAGGGTGACTCAACCTCCGACTGCACTCTCTGCCTGGCTCAAAGTAAAATGGAACGAAGTCCTCCCTTACATCTGCTTCTCATCCTGTCTTCTCCGCATTTAGCACATTGTCATCCCTTCCATCTGAAAACCAGCAACCTGGAGTTACCCTAGCCTCTCTCCTCGAGCCCCCACCTGGGTCAGCTACTGCGCCTCATTTTTTTTTTTTTTTTAAGATTTATCTACGCACACAAGAACTGGGGTGTAGACCAGAGGTGGAGGTGGTGTGAGAGGACTCCCCAGAGACAGAGTGGAGAGGACAACTAGCAGATCCACTGAAACACTGCTGAGGAGAGCAGCAGGTGACAGGAGCGGCCTGCTGTGCCCTGTGGGTCACTCCCTGGCCAGGATCCTGGCAACAGCTTGATAGCTGCTGAGACTGAACCCTGCGCCACTGGGAGGCCCTGCCGGGCCTACTTTAACATTTCATCACTGTTGGTACTACAGCAGAATCCTGAGTGAGCTCTGCCTCTTGTTTGATCCGCCACTAATTCTTCCAAAATGCTGCCACAGGCAGCCAAAACTGGTCTTTGAGAGTGCGAACGCCTGGGGATGAAATGCACTTGAGTTCCTCGCTTAAGGCCCTTCTTGACCTGGCTTCAGCATCCTCTCCCTCCTTTGCGCCTCCCTGTTCTACCACCCGGCTTGTGTGCCAGGCTTTGTGCAGGCTCCTCCCTCTGCTTTCGCACTCCACACACCCCCTCCGCCTGACTCTCAAGCCCGGATGTGTATCAGGCCAAAGTAGAGAAAGAGAGACGAGTTATTACTTCACATTCAGATTCTGTTTTCTAAAGAAGTCCACCAGGGATTCCCACTGGAGGACAGACTTGGGGCCAGCTTCCCTGGGGCCTTCCCGGCCCGGGGCCTGTGCCAGGCTGTGTGATGGCTTTCTTCTGTCGCCTGGGCTGCGGCCTTGTAGGACTGTCCCTGCCTTGTCGCCCACCTTCACAACCCCCACCGCGGGGCGCCTCTGCACCTGTTAGGGCAGGGCCTGTCCGCCGCTCACGCGTGACGGGTAAAGATGCTCGCTCACGTGTGTGCTGAAAAAGGAATTCCCGGGCACAGGCCTGGGAGGGTGACGTGAGGACGGCCACTCCTGGCTCACTCGGGCCGGCTGGGTGTGGCTTGACACACCCACTCCGGCCCCCAGAGCTGATCTCAGGGGGCTCACACCCTCTCACCTGGGCTCCACACGCAGCGATGACCAGGAGCCAGACGAGAGGGGCCAGCTGAGGCTCCCTGAGCTCTGACCACCTGCGGCGGGGCCACGCTCCTGCCGCCGCTCGCGTCCGCGGGAGGCGACGCCCACCCGGGGCCCGCGGGCTCGTGACCAATAACCCCCAGCAAATGCCCGGGGCGCGCAGGCCTGGCGCCCTCCTG